AATGATTGAAGCATAGTAATGTATTAAAAATGGAAAAACAAATAATTATAATCAGTTCTGCTGTAATGTGATATATGTTACTAAAAATCACCATGGTAGGCAAAAGTCATGCCATAAAAAGACACAAGGTTTGTGAGGAAAAATAGGGTTAGGGGTATAACACTCAAGAATTTTGTCAGTAGCACATTGTAAAAGAAACAATAAACATCTAATAAAAATAACAGTACAGTTATGCACAAATTAAATGGTCCAAAACTGCACATGTATTACAATAAAGACGGCACTTTACCTTAAAAAAGACCAGCAGTATGTTTTTGGAACTGCAAACAGCTAAAAGAAAGTGAAAATACATAGATATTTAACAAAAATTATCATTATTCAACAGATATTTTTTTCATTTCTTTAACTCATTTAAACAATTTGCTATGTGTAGATTTTGTTTTTTATATTGACACAGTTGACGTGAGTGAGTCTCCTGAATGATGGTTCTTCAATTATCACTTCTAAGTCTGGACATTTGTCTAAGCAAATTTATCATCAAAGTCAAATCTCCTTTTTTTCCAATAAATATTTATTGGGCACCTATTATGTGCTTGGCATTGTCCTAGGTATTGTAGATTGTAAACAAAGAGCCAGCCAATTAAAATATGTCATAAATTCCTTGATAGGACTACCACAGGTTGTAATAAGAATATAAGTTAGCCAAAACCAGGCCCAGGCCTCGGAAGAGGCTTCCAGAGAAATCAGTGGCTTAGATGAGCTCTGAAGGCCAGTGGAAATTAGGTGAAGTTTGGGTGAGGATCATAGGAGGAAGAACTGGAAAGAGTTTCGATAGAAGAAATGATTCAGGGATAGAAAAATATGTAAGCAAAAGACCTCTTTAAAGCTACCAATGATTTCAGTGCCTTAAACATTACACATCTGTTGACAATGGTCATGATTTGTGTCCTCATGAAGTTTAACAATCTTAACTTTTTCTTCATCAGACTGTACATACAATGCATACTCTATACTTTTAATACACCTTACCACATCTTAACTTAATACATCTTAACTCTCTGTTAAGAGAGTCATTTTTGTAGGACCATGAGTCCTAGAAGAAACGAGCTCAAATTTTCTCTTCAAGTAAAATCTACTGTTTAAATTTCAAACAACTTTTCATTCAAAGCTATTATTTTTATAATGAAATGAACATGTCTGCACTCTGGAAAAAAAGTAAAGCAAAAAAATTGCAATCATTCACAACACTCCTGATAAAATGTATCTACTATTTACGTTTTATTTCTTTGCTTCAAGACATTTGTGTGTGTATATGTTGGTTTTTAGAAGAAAGAGAAGTGAGAGAAAAAAGGGAGAGAGAGATGAACATAATTTTTAATAATTACTTATAAATGTAAGGTCACTTCTAAGACAATACCAGATCAATAAACATTTATGTTGCGGACACACTGATAACTAGTGATATATTTTTCACCATATACAAATAATGCATGATTAGAAAAGCCATATCAAATACCCCTGTCTGATTATTTCTTTTGGATAACCTATTGAGTAGAATTACTAGATAAAAAAGAATACTGATTCTCCTTACTCAATAGATACCATGTCTTTAAATATAAATTGACCTTTGTCTTGTCTTGCCTAATTGATTTCTATGGACATTGGTACATTTTTTTTCTTAAATTGAGCTGCAAATAATATTTTATAGGTAAAGCTTCAACTAATAAAGATTCCTAAGGAAATATATACAAATTAAATAAAAAGAAAAGACATACATTCCCCATTGAAATTGTGAAGAGCCCATGATCATTTTGTCAAGAAATGTCTGTTTTCCATGACATTAAATTGACCTAATATGCAGTTTTCAAATGCAATCCATCAAAATTTGAATATTCTGAAGGATATGTATTAATGTCATTTAATCCAAATCACTTTTATACTCCTTAATCATTAGACCCCAAAAAAGGTAGTATCTTATTCAGCAACCTAAAATTTTAAAAATATCTCACTTATAATTCCATAAGTCAATTTTAATTCAAAGTAGTGGAAAAGTATAAGCATACAGAGACATACAATAGATATTACACAGAATCACTGTGTAGTATCTTTTAGGTATACTTGAATAATTTTTATAGCTTGACAAAACTTGAAGTTGCTTCAGGATAAGATCCTTATCTGTTCCTTATATTTTTATTCATCCACTATCCATTATACTTCATAGTAGAGTAGTATACGCATGATTAATGTTAGGAAATATTTGTTGTATTAACAAATTAATTGATTGGTGACGTTTTACTATTTATACTCACTCCTTCTCATTAGGTATTTCTTGTAAGACTTTATGCTGTTATTTGGTAATCCAAGTCCAAATGAAGCACTCTATTTTTATTTCCAATAGCACAAGAGAACAAACAATGCTTTCTTCCCTCACCCATCACAATGTACTTGTATTTGATGTAAATTCCAACCTCTAAGGCATTGTAAACTTGGATGAAAAAAATTATACTTTTCTCTTCACTGATCTTCTAATTAAAATACAGTATTACCTTTAGTAGTTGAGTGACAATAATCTGATTTTTTTCACCAATAAAAACTAGATATTTTCATGTCATGTTAAATGTTATATCTCAAAATATTACTGATGATACTCTTCAGAATTACAGTAATTATTAGCCTCCCTGCATATTTAATGCATCAGAAGAGCATGTATACATATATATTATATATAAATATGCATATTAGGATGTATGCGACTATTTTATTATGATTAATTCATTTTGTATTTCATTTTATGCATCCAAACACATCATCCTTAAGCCGTGCCACAGTCTGGAAAAAGTCCTGGTTTAAATATGAAAAGATTAGGAATCCTTGCTCTACTGACTTGCTCTGTAATTACTGTGTTGATTTGCTTATAGGGATTGCAATGCTATCGTATGATATTCTCCAGATAACCTATTTCATTCTAATAAGTTCCTTCAGGAGAGACAAAATCTTAACTCAAGGGTGTGAAGAAGATACTTGTTGAGGAGGAAGGCCTTTTGGTTCCTTTTAGTTTATACCATGTGGATGGTTTTATATTTTTCTCCACATTTATGTATCTCATTAGTCCTGTCAAAGCACACAGGTCCATCCCTGTTTTCATAGGTATGCTATAGTTACAAGCAAGGTTTGGATCTTACGTGAGTTTAAACACAGATTTCTGGTATTGTGTTTTGCAGTACAATTTATAGCTACAAATTTGAATGTATAAAATATACTTTGTTTTCAAGAATAATAAAATTATTACACCCGGGAATTTATTAAAAGTTGGGAAAGTATCTGCATGTGTTCACTGGTTCCATTGCTTTATATACTAAAAAATTAAATCTAATGTCCTGTGGTCATTTCTATTTATTTCCCCAGCAGCGCTGAAATCTGCTCTTAAATGACTTTAGAATACTAAGCTCATGAAAGTGATGACAATATTTCTTAGATGTTTACAACATGTATATCTTCTCAGATCAATATTCCCTCTCCTTCAAAGTCATCCTATTAAAAAAAAAAAAGAAGCAAATCAGTATTTCTTCCAGGCAAATTTCAACTTCTATAACTCCATAGAAGAGACTTTTTTTTTTACCTGATTTTATGCCTATTTTAAATTTATAGATGTTCACAGATTAATAATTTGAGAGGCAATCCATTCCCTTATTCTCTTTAAGAGAGAATTATCTACTTACTTTTATTGACTTTTTTTTCTTTTTAGCCAATATTATGCTCCGTTTTTTTCTCACTTGTAAGTGAAAGGACAGATAAAATAAAGCTGACAGTTTCATCCATTTTCACAATCATTCATCAGGCTCCAGTATCAAAAGGTCCTGGGTGAAACCTATGGCTTTAATGTTTTTACATATAAGGGAAACATAGGAAGATTCTTTAAAATTACTTCCTTAATTGAAATTTGTGAAGAGAGTAAAACTTAAATCTTCTCACACACACATACACAAAAAGTACACATTTATCAAATCATCACATTGTACACTTTAAATATCTTATAATTTTGTTAATTATGCTTCAATAAAGCTGGGAAAAATAAAATTGCTACCACTAAAATTGTTACAAACTTTAGAGAGGGTTAAAGATAAAGAGCATAGAAAAAGACAAGTAATAATACAAGGTTAAAAAGAAAACAGGTAAAACAAGGAAAGGATATTAAGGAAAGCATCAGAAAAGAGAGAGAACAAAATGTAGAAAAAGGAAGGGAAAAAAAACAAAACACCAAGAGGAATAAAAATAAGCGAAAGAACACCAAGGAAAGATATAGAAGGCATGAAAGGAGTGAAAGGTGGTGATAATAATTAACAAAATTAAACAAGAAACTATGATTCTATGAAGAAGCATTTATTTCTAAAATGAAAGTGTAAGAAGCAGAGATAGACTATAAAGGCTGGAGTTTGAGGTTTTGAATATAAAGAAAGACAACACTATATTTTGTGAAAAAGAGTTCTCTAATAAAATTGAACTTAACTTGTTATTTGAAATTTATAGAACTTTCTTGAGAAAAAAGTTCACATGTTCCATTCTGGCAAGATAGAGTTATTTTTGAGTATTAGTTTAATGTAGCTATTTAAAAGGTTATTGATTTCATACTTAATGCAGCATTTTAAACACAGCTATCTCTAAGAAAATATACTATAGAAAGATTAAAAATCATCAGGCATACCTTAATTCAGATGGTATTAAGATGTTTACATTCAAGAAAAATTCAAAGATGAGGTTCTCATACTGTTATTTTTACTGGGAATTGATGCACTTCTAAAAGAGTGTCGCATTTGGGGAACTATAGAATATAAAGACGGAAAACACCTATTATTTCATTATATGTTGCTAAGTGTATATAACATGCAGTTTTGGAACTTGAAAACACCAAATAAATATGGGTTGTTCATTCTTTTTACTGACCAGTAGACCGTAGACCATTTTTTAAAAGAATACACGTTTTACAAAAGCAATTATCCATTTTTATTTTGTTTACATTGCACTGAAAATTTACATCATACTTTTACAAAGTTTTTTTTCATAAAAATATACTTCTTTACAAAAGTGTATGCATTAATATAAGAGGAGTAGCCAGTTGCAGAAGAAACATTGTTTAAACAAGATCATCGATGTATTAACCTTAACATTAATGAATGAATCATTGTTATTGCAGTCATTTGAATAAACAAGAATAAATAACTGATGGCATAAAATTTAAAACGGCATCCTGTCAGTAGAGCACAATGTTGGGAAAATTGTATGAATTTCCAAAACAAAATATCTCAAAGTGGTTTACAAGAAATTCACTAAATGTTGTCGAGATAGATCCAAGCAGCGCTCCAGATGCAATGATTTCTTTTAGGCACTCTGTCTCATGATACAAAAAATCAAGACTGTTTACAGAGTTATCCATATTTGAAAGAAAGAATAACAGAGTTCACACTGGGTACATGATTTATTCAACAAAGTGAAACATGCTATAAGAGGAAGACAATGACCTATTAAATCAAAATGCTGGTATTACTGTGAGACAGTTGTAAATGCAGTTGTAAATGAGACACCAATAACTTGCAAATACATACCATAATTTGATAATAAAAGAAACCTGTCATCTTTGAAACCTATGTTTTAAGAATAAGAGTATAAAAATTTTAAAATACATGAAAATTTGGTAAATCCACAACTTTAGGAAACAACTTTATACTGGTGATTAGAAAGAGTAGATTTTTTTGTTATGTTTAGGGGCTGATCCAAAATATATGTCTAACTCAATTTGTTAGATAAAAGTTCAAAACAATGTTAAATAAATTTGAAGGCTCAACTGGAAGGAAAAGCAGATGCATCATAAACTAAATACAATAGATTAATAGGTTCTATTTGGTCTTTCAGAAACATTGGAAAGTCTGGTAAAAGATGATAAGTTTGGTGTCTCAGATAACTGCAAAATAATCATTATTATAGATAACTTTTGCCAGCTGAAGTGGTTTCTGGGTGACAAAACTGATTGAGGCAAGAAGTTAAGCTCTCACCCATGACTCACAGAATACTACAGATTACAACAACATCATGAGGAAAATCGGGAGAATGGCATGATGATCTTGCCATTTGTAGAAATTATGACAACCAGTCTAAAAAAAAAAAAAAGAATAGCAATATGATGCTAAAGAACAAAAACTATAAACAGTGAAATCAGAGTGGGTAATTGTATCTCTTCTGTGGTATAAATTAGCTCAGAAACGTTCCAGGGCTTGACTCAATCTCAAATAACAATGGAAATAAGAAAAACAACAACGGAACAACAAAGAGCCAATAGGACGGTGTGAAACACACACTTATGGGTGTGACGTAGTGCGTGACAGTTAAAGAGAAGCCAGTGATCTACTGACTCTGGTAAATATAGCTCTTATTGTCTACCCTATATCTTTTTCTTTTTTAACCCAGTCCCTCTACTATAGTTTAGAAAGCACAGAAATACTGAGAGTGGATGCTCCTCCAATATATGCAAATAAGTTTATGTTTTAGAATAATCTCCTTTTTTAAAAAAGCAAATAAACTGTGAGTAAGCACTCTCAGAGTGCAGCCGGATTTCTGTAAAACGCTCCATGGTAACCATGAAGAAGAATTATGTACCAGTTTATGAAAAAAACACTCTTCTCTCTCATTCCTCAGGAAAAGGTGACCCAGCAAGTCCTGAAAAGTGTGCTTTAATTTGTTGAGCAGTGAACTAATGTGCACTGTTTTGTGTGTCAATTTCCAAGCTCTGGAAGAAGGCCGAGGGTTGCCGCGTTATACCATTGTGCAGACCGTGTTCAAGTTGGGATCGAATCGCACTGCCTTCCCTTCCACTGACTTCGCGTTGGTGTCGTACATGGGGTTTTCAAACGCTGCTTGGCCATTGTTATTTTCATGAACTGAACATCCTGTATACTGTGTTTTGGGTGCAGTCCTGTTGAGGAGAACATCGATTAGCTGGGTGTTAACTTTCTTCTAGAAACAGCATTGGAGGGCTGACACAACATGTACTTGAGTTATCACTGTTCATGGGTAATGGAACTTGAAAGTATTTACTGAGAAATCATAAACGCAATACATCAAATTTGAACAATTTACCTGTCACTTTTAAATCGTGAGTGACCTTATTTACATATAATCCATATTTATTTACAGGACCAATATGAGTAATACAGGTATAAATAAGTGATATATTATGGCTGTTCTCATAAATTTTCCTAAGAAATAATAAGTTATCACTATAAATTAGCATGTATAATATGAGTAAATTGTGATGATGACGGTGATGAATTTAAATCTCATTACCAGTCATTCATTCATTTATCAAATATTTACCGAGCATCAATTATGTGCCAGCTATGATCCTGGGGATTAAATACATAGTTTTATTTTTTTAAAGCATACAAAGTCATTGCTCTCTGGGAGCTCATACTGTAGTGACAGAAAAAAATAAATACATTACATATCAACACACAAAAAATAATAGGCAATGAGAATTTTCTAGATGAAAAGGAAAGTGGTTGATATGATAGGATGTAACTGGGAGCCATTTTAAGTAATAAGGAGGCGCATGTCTGAGGAGGTAAAGTTTAATCTGAGACCTGAAGAACAATGAGTGGGTTCTGCACTAATCAGAAGGGGGTTCAGAAGCAGTAGACGATTCACGCTGAGGCCTAATTTGGGAAGGTACTTGGGGTATCCCAAAAACATAAATACAAAATGTGTTTTAAAATGATACACACTAGAGCAAGTAAATCCAAAATCTCAAAGAAAAAAATGACTATATGGATATTCAAGTCATGAAAACAGTTTCCAAAGAGTTACTAATAACTGAATGTTTCCTGTTAGTTAATATAACATACAGAGTCTCAGCTGGCTGCTTTAAGGTGCTTTGCATTACTGCTTAGCTTTTTTTAAATTTCTCTCACCTTTGACTAATGATTATTTCTAGTTTCTCTTTCCCACATCCTGCTGCATACAGACACAAGGCAGACTTGTCCCTACCTGTTGTTTCTGGGACCTAATTCCCTAAAACTTTGTGTGTGTGTGTGTGTGTGTGTGTGTGTGTGTGTGTGTGTGTGTGTGTGTGTGTTTCTCAACTCTTTGTTTACGTCAACCAAGCACCAAACTTTCAACTATATTATATCATAATTTATATTTGTCATTATATTGTTTTAGTATCTCTAATGCATTTTCTGAACTTTTCTCTGTACTAAAATTGTTGGGCTATTTGCAAGACAACTTTTTTAAAGCTATTTTAAGTTTCTTTCAATGGTGTCGCCTATATATTGCTTACAACTTGTTCTTGCCTGGTACATAACTCCAATGAATTATATTTGTCACTCTTTTTTCAAACTAGATTCACATTAAAAATTATTAAAAGCAACATAATTTCCTTTCCATTAGATAAGAATCATAAAGATGTAATGGCATTTTTTTGCAATATTGAGCAACAGATTTAAGAAAATAATATCATCAAGCTTTAGAGGAAAAAAATTTATACCATCAACAAAAATTAACTTGAAATGAATCAAAGTTCTAAATGTAAGAACTAAATCTATAAAACTCTTAGGAGAAAACATTCAGGTAAATCTTTATTACCTTGATTTTGGCAATGGTTTCTTAGCTATGACACTAAAAGAACAAGTAACAAACAGAAAAACAGATAAATTGGGACTTCATCAAAATGAAAAAAAAATTGTATATCAAAGGACACTATAAAGTGGAAATACAACCCAGAGAAAAGAAGAAATATTTGAAAACCATGAATCTGATAAGAATCTAGTATCCGGAATAAATAAATAATTCATACAACACAATGACCCAATAAAAAAACGAGCAAATACCTGAACAGGCATTTCTCCAAGAAGATAGACAAATGGCCAATAAGCACATAAAAAAAAAATGCTCAATATCATTAGTACTCAGGGAAATGCAAGTCAAAACCACAATGAGATACCACTTCACACCTACTAGGATGACTATAATAAAACAAGAAGAGGAAGAGGGAGAGGAAGAGGGAAAGGTAAAAAAGAGGAGGAGGAAGAAGAGGAGGAAGAGAAGGAGGAGGAGGGGGGGGGAAGAAGAAGAAGGAGAAGGAGAAGGAGAAGGAGAAGGAGAAGAAGAAGAAGAAGAAGAAGAAGAAGAAGAAGAAGAAGAAGAAGAAGAAGAAGAAAAAGAAGAGGAAGAAGAAGAAGAGGAAGAAGGAGAAGGAGGAGGAGGGGTAAGTGAAAGGGGGAAAGGGGAAGGAGGAAGAAGAGGAAGAAAGGGAAGGAGGAGGAGGGGGAGGAGAACACAACAACAACAAAAGAAAAAAGAAAATAAGTTTTGCCGAGGATGTGGAGAAAGTGGCATCCTCATACAGTGCTGGTGCAAAATGTAAAATGGTGCAACTGCTGTGCAAAACAGTACAGTGTTTTCTCAGTAAGCTAAGTGTAGAATTAACACATAACTTAGCATTCTATTCTTCGGTATATACACTCCAAGGAACTTAAATGGGTGTCCCAACAAAAACCTGGACACAAATGTATACAGCAGCACTATTCCTGTAGCTAAACAGTAGGAACCATCCAAATGTCCATCAACTGATGAATGGCTGTATTCAAACAGAACACATTCAAACATAGAATGGAATATATTTAACCATATAAAATACTGATGCACAGTATAACATGGATGAAACTTTTAAAAATTGTTAAGTCTAAGAAGCCAGATAAAAAATGTCACATCTTGTATGACTCTACTTATATGAAATACCCAGAATAGGCGAAACAATACAGAAAACAGATTAGTAATTGCTTAGGGCAGGGAGGGGGGAATGAGGAGTCAGTGCTTAATGGGTACAGTCTCATTTGAGGTGATGACAATGTTCTGGATCTAGCAGGGATGGTTCCATGACATTGTGAAAGTACTAAATACTACTGCATTGTACACCCAGGATGGTTAAATGGTTTTATATTATGGATATTTTATCACAATAAGGACCAGCATATCTTGCTTTAGAAATAAACTTAGTGATGATATTGATAAGGCCTAAACAGCTGCTTATACACAATTCTTACAAATGTATGTAATGTTAAATAAATCATCCTTAGATAATACAGACTGACATTTGTAATAAAAACATCAGTTTTAGAAAAAATGCACTTAATATTATTCATTTAATTACCTGATTACCTACATATTTTATTTTCTTGATAAGGGATGGTCCTAAACAATAGAGAATTGCGTAGTAAAGCCCCTCACCAGGACTCTGTAATACACACAGTGAAAAAGGGCCAACTAATAATATGCATAGTCCTATACTAGATATAACCCACATATAACATATTAATTGCATAGTCTTCTGAAAGCAAAAGAAGATAAACGAGAAAATTAAAGGATTTCACCAACTGCCTGCATGAGTACAGCTGGTTAGTATTGTCATGTGAACTAAATGGTTTGGACATAAGCTTCTTCCTAGTTCTCTAAATGCATTTGACAGCAAATTTCACTTATTCAATTGAAACCTTAACCTAGATTTTGTACATCTGAAGTCATTATGGGTGATGTAAAAATACCTTATACAATTAGTTAAGTGCTAGAAAACTGACAGGTAAAAAGAAGAAAGGGTTAAGTTAAATGCTGTGCAAATTAACACAGCAATTTTTATTATGTGTATGTAGGGGTGGTGAAGGGGCAGGAGAAAAAAGTTTTTCAGCAACTGTGGAAATATTTTGAACACAGAGATTGCAACAACCCAGGAGGGAAAAAAAGGAAATTGGGAGTTGAACTATAGTAGTAAAAAGAGCATGAAAAAAAGAGTTGGGAAACAGTTGTAGTTAAAATCAACAAACTTACCTTTGTTTATAAAGATAAAATCCAAATCCTGCAAATATAAGTGCAAAAAAAGGCACAAGAATAGCAATGGCCACCGAACTACTATTTGTACCATGAGGTTGATTTGAAGAATTTAAACCTTCTGACATATTCAGTCCTATAAAATAAAAAGTAAATTATATGTACATAATCAACTCTATTTTATCACAATTGATTTTTATTTTATGAACTAATTAATTTTTTTCTTTCTTGAAAATGTACCTAAGGTAGAGCAGTAATTCATGAAACTTCTTCAACTCATATCCACACAATTCTACACGATGCCTGCTATGCATTAGGATATTTTTCCAGGGAAGGAAGGATACTGAATTAAAAAAATAAGCATTGTCTCTGAACTGAAGAGTTTATACAATGTGGGAAGAAGACATAAATAAGTGGATGCATCAAGCATGAATTAATGGTCAATGTGCTTTTGGAAGGGAAAGAGTAATTCCATCTGGTGGTATGTAAGAATGTTTTCTGGAGGATATATAACATGAGCTAGGCCTTCAAGAGACAGTAAAACAGGGGTGGCCAGCTAGCTTAGTTGGTTAGAGTGCAGTGCTCATAACACCAAGGTTGCCAGTTCGATCCCCACATGGGCCACTGAGTTGCACCCTCCACAACAAGATTGAAACAACTACTTGACTTGGAGCGGATGAATCCTGGAAAAACACACTGTTCCCCAATAAAATAAAACATTAAAAACAACAACAAAAAAAGAGTCAGTAGAACAACAAATAGAGGAAGAAGCAGGACCCTCATAAACATAGAAATGGGAAGGTGAGTGACATACTTAGGGGATGTGATGAGTATTAGGCATCTATGCATGCAAAGGACATGTGAGAGGAGTAGGAGGCTGAAATGGTAAGCTATGGCTAGACTCTGAATAGGCATAAGTATTCTAAAGAACTCAACCTTACGACTCACCTAGAGTGAGGGATAACTGAGGGTGTTTAGAAATAAGGGCCCAGCGATAAGATACAGGATTTAGACCAGTGACTGGGGTGGGATGGACCTGAGGGAGTCGAGACAGGAAACCAGGGTAGTTTGAAGGTTGTAGCAACAACCCAGGTAAAACAAAATTGAGATGTGAACTAGAGCACTAGGAAGAGCATGATAGATTTAGAGGATCATTTTGCAGTTAAAATTAACAGAATTTGTGTGGATGAAAGAGGTAAGAAGGAGTAGACTTAGAAGTGTTTCATTTGGGGCTGAGCGAATGGTGATGACATTATCAGTTATAAATGACAAAAAGTCAGGTTTGTCAATACGTTAGCACACGTGTATGAGGAAATAACTATTTCAGAAAGAAATAGTTCCTTTTCTGTAGGTTCTGTTTAAAACATGCAGTGTTTTGCGATGCTTTGGGGAATATTATGTAAAAACATCTTGTATTCAATTACACGGCTGTGCTAATGTACTGAGTTAATGTTTTATCCTATCTTTAAAACTACCAAAATTTTAGGTAAGACAGTATCTGAAATGGCATATTATTATTATTGTTCATTTAGGGAAAGCTAACTTCACTTTTTGATAAATAGTTATATTCAACTAAGTGCCACCTTAGGCCAGGTTAAAAAAGTTAGTACCTTACATGTATTTGATACCTCATTTTTCCAGGGACTCAGAATGTTTATACAAAAGTTCAAAGTAATGGAATTTGTATGATAAATGTCAAATAGCAGTTTGTAAAGACTGAATGTATTCCTTGAGTGTCAACACCATAATATGATAATGGAGATAGTATACCTTACGAAAATTATACACCAAAAATTATGTGAATACATACATTTCAAGCAAGACCATTCAATATTTACACACATTTTAGAAGAGTTAGAAATAAGAATGACAAAACCCTGTGCCTCCCACCACAGTAAATTTACATATCTGAAGAGTACAAAGCCCTGAAAAGGGACCCATTCCTCAAAGTTATTTTCCCTTTCCAGACCCTATGAGTTTCTCAAAGCGCCAGTATATTCTTGAAGGAGTAAGAAAATTGCAACAATATTCAAACTGAAGAGATGTATTACAGTTCTCATAAGATAATATAATTTACAGTTTAATATTTTCCTTTCTATCTGTATCACTTTTTCTCCTTTTTACTTGCTTAAGGGCAAGACAGTGTGTCATGTTCTTTAGAAATACGATGAAAAACCAAACATCGTACAGAGGTGGTCCACTGAGAACCAATATTTTGAAGAATGTGATTATTTAAAAGGCTATCAAAAGGATCAACATATAGTCTTGACAATGCAAAATTCAAAATGTAGTAAGTGTGGTTAGGGTACAGAATCCATGGTATTTTCTTATGATGTCTAGTGTAATAAAGGAACTACATGACAATGAAAATGAATACATTACCCAGTCTTTGTAGTCCAAATTGCCCATAATCTTTGCCCTGAATAAATCCTTGAAACACATAAGTAGCTCCATCAGGCTCAGCAGAAACCTAAAAATATTTATAATTTGATTAAATCTGAAGACTGGCCACAGCTATGTTTTCCCATCCTTAATAAATATTCATTTTTATTCTGAAATGAATAGTATGCTAAGTTCCTTCCTACAGATCTTCCCTCATATGTCAAACACAGCGCGTTGTGCAAATCTGTCATCATTCAAAGCACATTCAAACTTTTCATTTTAAAATAATTATATTAGAAAAAAGGGGGTTGCTTATTAATATATATATATATATATATATATATATATATATATATATATATATATATATATAGTTGTTTTACATGAAGAAACTTACTGTCAAGAAAAAGCCAATGCTAATGAAACCAAATGAGGCAAATAGGCAATAAAAAATTAAAGGATAATAACTTTTAGGTTGGATTACTGTTCAGCATATATGCATCTCTTCTTCCGCCTCCCATCAACCTTCATGGCATGAGTTACGTCCTATCTCACTGAGTTGGGTTAGGTCCTGTGACTCGCTTTGGCCAATGGAATGTAGGTGGGATTGAGTAAGGCAGTTCTTAGCCTAGACCAAGGGTCGGCAAACTTTTGAGATGGAAGAGCCACCAGGGTCAGCAAACTGTGGCTCGCAAGCCACAGGTGGCTCTTTGGGTACGTACGTGTCGCTCTGAAGTAAAATTGAAAATGAAAATAAAACTATCATAGTTTCATTTATAAAATTTTTCAAGGATATTATTCACATAATGGTGATTATGTAAAAACATATTTATGACCCCGAATAATTTTTAAATTGTTGTGAGGAACAGGATTGGCTCTTCCAGGGGTTAGCAAACCTTTCAGACGGAACGTACCCCCAAGATCCGCATGTGGCTCACAAGCTGCAGTTTGCCGACCCCTGGCCTAGGTCTTAAGAGGTATATTTCCCATGATAATAAGTGAAATACATCAATAACAAAACACCACATATTATAAGATTCCATAAATATGAAAGTCCAGAATAGGAAAATCTGTAGAGACAGAAAATATATTTGTGGTTGTTTAGGGTTGGAATGGAGATAAAGGGGTCTGGGTGGAGTGATAGCTAAAGGATATTGAATTTTTTTTGAGGTGGTGAAAATATTCTAAAATCCACTGTGGTGATAGTTACACATCTGTAAATATAGTAAAAACCACTGAATTTTACACTTTAAATGGGTGAATTGTAAGGTATGTGAATTATATTTCAACAGAGCTGTTTATAAGGAGGGGGGATGTTTTCTAATGTGTCTCTCCATGTTTCTGACCTCTGATGAGAAAGAATGTGCCCCTCCAGTCTGGACCCCAGAATCGGACACCTGGAGCAGATCTGAACTTGCTACCATAGCTTCGAGTCGAGTCAATGGAATATGTGTGGACTTGAGAATAGGTCTATCTACCACCAACTACAGACACATTAGAAAGAAGTAAATATTGGTTGTATGACTGAGATTTTGTGGCTACATCTAATGCTGTAAATGTTAACTATTAATATATATATATATATATATATATATATATATATATATATATATAACACTATAGGTTACTAAATATTTGCACTGAGTCATTTAAAATAAATTAGCCATAATAATAATAATAATATATATATAGTTTACATGCCTAGTGCCATTTGACCCTATAGATATAATAATAATTGAAACATTTCAGTGTTCCTGCTAAGTAGTAATATGAGGTTACCTTGATCTTTGTTCTGATTAGTAGCAATTAGCTACCTAAGTCCTGTATGTTATTGTAAAAGTTATATAAACAAAACAAACAAACAAACAAAACCCTTGAATCTTCTCCCGTAAAATCAAAATATCTTACCAAAGTATCCACACAAATCTGACATAGCACAACAAGTGATAACATTTATTCCTTATTATCAGATGACATACTCAGCATGGCTGTTTTTAAAACTAAAACACTTCTGGAAAGAATAGCTCAAACTCTAATATTTAAATGAATGCATTCGTTTTATTAGTTTCCTAGATGAAATAATATAGTTAAACAATCTGAGTGCATTGAAGACATGAGTTAGTCCCCAACTCCATGAATAAATGGCACAGAGAGGGAAACGGAATAGTACTTTTTTTCCTCAGGAACCAAACTTACTGAAGCCATGACTTACTATCTATCTTCTTTCCTGCTAGGTCTTCCCTGTAAAAGAAGGCTTGTTACTTGAGAGAATATGGTCAGAGCTCTCATGCTCATTTTTAGCAAAGGATCCTGGGCAGTACGTGAATATAACTGGCTTCCAACTCCCAATTTAATAACTCCATTCACATAAGTGGTTAAATAGGACAGAGTGACATAGTGAAGCTATTGTAACTATCTCCCCACAGGAAACAATTTGCAGGCTCGTAATCTCGTCTTCATAGACAATTTTATAAAATATTCTAAATCTGTGCTTACATTTAATGGGCATACTTATTTTTTTCTGATGCATTTTGTTAACATATTGCATAAGCCTTAAACAGTAGTTCCAGACAAAGATTGATTTATATTTTATCCAGATTTATTTATTATAGTAGTGACAATACACAAAACACATTTGATGAAACCAATGAAATACTATCTGCCCCCTGCACACATAAGTATTACAAAAGTGAGCAAAGCACACCAGAATCTAATAATCTTAGGTTTAACACTATAGGTTACTAAATATTTGCACTGAGTCATTTAAAATAAATTAGCCATAATAATAATTTTATCATTTTGTGTGTATGTGTGTGTGTGTGTGTGTGTGTGTTCATAATTAGCTAAATTTAGAGAATTACCTTTTTTTGGATTTTAATGAAAACTCAACACAAAAATTTGGTATTAAAACCAGCAGCAGACTTTTAAAGAACTATACTTACAAAGCCATCCATGGCCCAATTTTCCTCCTTCATTTTCTTTGCAGAAGCATGAGCTGGTACTTTAATAAGATAGATGTGTAACATTAGGCGAGCTTCCTGGCTTTTATATACGCCTGTAAAAATAGTTATGCTTCATTTTATTATCTATAACTCCTTAAATGTTTCATGTAATACATATGATAGGAAAAGAAATAAAACAAACCAAGTCAAGGCTAGTTTTACCCATAATGCTATTTACAAATCCTGCAATATACATTGATCTCTCTTTTGGCTGAAATTCTCAACCTAAATCTTAATTGTGGGGTTTAAATAACCTATGCTATTAAAATTAAGTATTACTAGTCTTAGTAACATCATTCCATGATATTGTAAACAAAATGCTTTCTTTCCCCAATCAGATATAAAATCTTTAGGGGTATGAATCAAATATTAAAATTCCTTTTATTTTCTTTAAACTAAATTGGGTACCAATCCTGTGAAAGAGAGTATTCTAGGTGCAACTCGAGCCACAAAGATGCATAGATGCTATTCATATATAAAGATATGATGCTTAAAAGCATTTCCGAGGGCCGGCCGAGTGGCTCAGTTGGTTAATAGCTTCCCTCAAGAGTTTGAGCTCTGAGCAACAGCGTTTCGATTCCCGTCCTGAGCTGAGCAGCCACTGAGCTGCCATCAGGTGGCAAGATGGCTCAGCTTAAAAAAAAATAATAATAATTTCCGATTAAGTAGGAGGTATGTCAGGTATACAACTAACTAAAATACATGAGAGAATATAATAAATAAAATATGATAAGGGAGAGGGATCATTTCACACTAGAATGATCAGGATATGCTTGTTTAAAAAAAGGATTTTACTGGGTTTTCAAAATCAAGTAGGATTTTTAGTTCAACAAAGTCAGCATAGAGTAATGACACAAAAAAGAGAAGCAAAAACATATACAACGATTTTTTTTCTTAAACTGTGACTATTTTAAGAATAGAAATAAGCTGGAATGTAAATATGTATTTTTAGGGGAATAAAATTAAATAAGGTTCTAAAGAAAATTTTGTGACTAATTGATGGTTGAAATTTGACTCATTCGTTTATTCACATAATCTTTTACCTATGAATTCAGGTGTCATAAGAATAGATATGGAAACAACCCAAATGCCCATTGGTAGACGACTGGATAAAGGAACTGTGGTACATTTATACAATGGAGAATTACTGGGTCATAAAGAAGAATGAAGTATTACCATTGGCAATGACATGGATGGGACTAGAGAATATTAAGCTAAGTGAAATAAGTCATGCAAAGACAAATAGCATATGATCTCACTTACATGTGGAATCTAAGAAACAGAATAAATGAACAAGCAAAACAGAAATAGACTCAGAAATATACTGGGGAAAAAAACTGAGGGTTGCTAGATGGGATGGGGGTGGGGATGGGAGAGGAGGCAAAGGGATTAGAAAGTACAAGTTAGTAAGTAGTCACAATATTGCCACGGGGATATGAAATACAGTGTGAGGAATATAATCAATAATGTTGTAAAGACTTTGTAGGGGGTCAGATGGGCACTTGTCTTATTAGGGAGATGACTTCATGGATGGTGTAGATGCCTGACCACTGTGCTGTACACCTGAAGCTGAAGGTGAATAATATTAAATTTCAACTGTAATTAAATAAATATAGTACTCAACTCTACACATACTATGTTTTTCCTATACATACATACCTATGATAAAACTTAAATTACAAATTAGGCACAATAAGAGATTAACAACAATAACTATAAAATATAGCAAGTGTAACAATATACTGTAATAAAAGTTATGTGAATATGATTTCTCTCTCAAAATATCTTATTGCACTGTGCTCACCCTTTTTCTTATGATGGCAGATAATATAATGTCTGTAGATGAGATGAAGTGAGGTGAACGATATAGGCATTATGGTTTGGTGTGAGGCTACTGTTGACCTTCTGACAATATGGCTACTAAGTGACTAAGGGCAGGTGGTGTACAGCAGGGACATTCTAGACAAAGGTATGAACCACTTTCCGGGCAGAAGAGATGGAGCAGGACAGCATGGGATTTCATCATGCTACACAGAACTTATAAAGAGTTTACTTCTGGAATTTTCCATTTAATATTTTTGGACCTCAGTTGACCTCAGGTAACTGAAAGCAGGGAAAGTGAAACTGCAGATAAGGGAGGACTACTGTATTTAGGATACACACATAGTCAAGAAGTTCATATTTAATATTTCCAATATCAATATTTTAAAAATATGTTGTAAATGAGAATAATTCAAATTCATTACTTTGACATTATTCATTGAGGCTTACTTTGCTACAGATGCTTTTCTAACCTCTGATATATAGTAATGAATGACTTATGTTGTTGGAGTATAGACAAATAATGTCACGTCATGTCATGTAATACCATAGTATATTATATAACACTATACTATACTATACTATACTATACTATACTATACTATACTATACTATACTATTTCAAATAGTACGAAGAAGAAAATGAAACAGGGTAAGACTGCCTAAGACAAAGAGTGTCTGACAGTGTTTGTAATGTGAAGGTTACTTTAGGTTCATCAAGAGTGCTGTTGATAAAATGACATTTGAGAAAACATTTGAATGTCAGAAAAAAAAACCAGAGTAATCAAAGATAACGAGGGAAGTTTGCACTAGATAGAGGAAACAGAAGCTTAAGGAGGCCAAGCAGTTGGTAGAGCTCTGGGTTCCTTAAGCCTGTTTAAAGTAGTGTAGCTCTACCTTTTTGTCTGAACTTATGATGTCCACCTAACCATTTTCTTGAAGAAATAATTTTGTGACCATAAAATAGCTTGCAAATCACTGATCTGGCCTCTCTGGTGTTGTGAGAATAGAGAAAGATTTAGGTATATTCAAATTAAAAGTTCTGTTCTAGTTCATGATGTCTCATTCTAGCTACATTAAAATATCCTGAGGGAGCTTAATTCAGTATCACAGTTTTATATTTGGGTAGGAATATTTTCATGCATCAATCCAAACACCAGAAAGCCTTGCTTCTGAATGAATTATCAATGTCATAAAAAGTAACACATATTTCACAGTATAAGAAACACTAATAAAATGATGAAATGATGGAGATGAAGGCATTGTTTGTTGTTCTTTAATGGGATACCTGAAAGTAGCAGTTCCATGTTGCTATTGCTGAGTGTTGCATTGACTCTCCCAGTGGAAGCATTAAAACTCGTAACCGTCAAGGTCATGGGTTGTTTCTTTCCTTTGAAATTGTAAGAGCCTTTCCATATATAATTTTGAGCAAACACATCATCAGGAACTGTGAATAGATTAAATCAACACATGCATTAATTTGATGGCGTCCCGTAAGTACAAGCCTTAAACAGATGAATATTCGTTTATTGAATAATATTTGCTAATTATACATAATGTGGAGAGCATATGACAAAATGAATTCTTCACTTGAAAGTGTTTCCATTGCTTTAGAATAAACCAAAATTGTAAAAACCTAGACTTGTACATGAGTCATCCATAAGATATAAACACACAACACCATTTAAAGATATGAGAGTTATATTTAGAATCCAGTTAAGCATCAAGTTTACTTATATTTGGTCTCCTCTAATAGTGTCTTTATTTCAGGAGGAAGACAGGATGAGTTTACTGAGCCAAGTCAGTCTATATCCAAGTCCCAAGAGGGATGCTTTTCTCCTAGCAGTGGGAATAGATTTATAGGAGGAAGAACATAGAGTTAAGCCCCCTTGCAGAATAGCCCCGGAAGACTGTCAGAAGGGATACTCCTTTGTCCCCCTTACAAAATACTAGTTCAGTTAATCCAGTAATAGGTTTCCTGAGGAAGAGCAGGTTTCCACCAAATTGACACCTTTGAGGTTTACAGATATTTTAATTTTATTTTTTTTGTAAGAGAAACAGAACTTTAATAAAATATTCTAACATTTACTATGAGATGTACAGGTATTTTTAGAAATGAAAGAATTGTCACTAGAATTGCCCAGCTGTCATGGAAGAGAGATGAAATGTGGCAGAATCCAAGAATATTCTAAATGTTGTAAAGCGTTCATCCAAAGAACGTTAGCAACAGCCAAATAAGACTTATTTTTATATAAATTAGTTATACAATTTATAGTTATATAAATTAGGTATGTCAAAGTCTATTGATATCCTAGGAAGAGGCTGAGAGAAGCTTCCATGAATCCTAGACACCATAATAAAGCACATCCCCAGAAATCAGCTATTCAAGGGAGCCATGCCTATTTATTTGGGTGAGTGCATGACACGAATTGAGAACAAAGCCTTTTTTTTTTCCCCCTAGCAAGTAATTGACATTTGTCACCTGATCTTTTCTACACACATCACACTTTTTTACCTCTCAAATCACAGAGACTGAGGTTACAAATTGTGAGTTCCCTGAATTCCACTCAGCAAACCAATAAAGCAAAATGACAGTAAAAGACGAACATAAAATACCCGCAGCAGGTGAGTTTTTACTGACTATTTCAACCAACATGATTGTTTTATATGATAATTTAAAAGCAATATAAACCAAGGGTTAGGAATGCAGGCACCGAAGAAAGGCTGCTTGCATTTAAGTCCTTGTCCCGTTTATGAACTGTGTGGTTTTGTGGGAGATAATTTCCTTCTCTAAACCTGAATTTCCACGTGATTTTAACATGGTATTAAGGTAGAGTTGTTAAAAAGATTAAGTGAGATAATGAATAGGAAGAGCTTAGCTAAGTGTTAGCTGCTACCATTATTATTAAGCAGTTCAAATAGGGAAACTGTAGATTTTTATAGCTCATTACATAGCTGCAAATAAAAATATATATATTTAGCAGACATGTAGTTAGTATTATGAAAAATCCATAGTACTGTGACCTTTTCCAATTCATCCTTCTAAGTGGCACTCCCTCCCCAAACCTCGGACTACACAGGTATGCTCTGTATTAAAAAAAAAAAAAAAGAATGATACAGTGTATGGTACAAAGCCCTTGATGGGTATGTGCCTTAAAAAGTTTTCAGCTTAAAAGAAGGGAGGGAGTAACAAGCTACATTGCCCTGCATTGCAAAAATCAGGAATTTGTAAGTAATAACAGGTTCTTAGTTGTAGAGATAAGAGGAGGAGCCAGAGTGGGATATATTCTAACAGCAGTGCCTGGCAAAGAGTGGGTGTCAATAAAAGTTGTTTCTCTGACTGTTCATCTCCCCTGGCAGGTACTGTGATTACTCTTTGCCACCTCCGAACCTTTAATGAAAATCTGCTACACCTAATGATCTGGCCCATGGTGCTTGGGGAAATTAGGGAATGTTGGCTGAAGGAGATGAGAGACAACTCAGGGTCAGGAGGAAATAACAATGTGAAAGAAGTAGGTAGCAGCTGCTGCAAAGCACATTGTATCAGGGTTAATCATTGATGTGGTAGTAAATATTTAACAAACAGACTCGCCAGAAAAACGAAAAAAAAGTAGTATGCTGATTTCTATGGTGTCAATATTCCCATAATGGCCAATTTCAAACTACCAACATGAAATCATTGAACGCGGGCGAGGATGCACGGAATTGGCCATGGTGAGCCTCTACGTGCTGCTTCCAGCACACCACCATCTTCTCCCATCTTCCCGCACAGAACTGAGAAACATGACTCCCGACAGGGTGGGAGAAGCAGACACGATTTCGTCATTTATATATCTATGTACAATGGGAATGAAAATACTTCTTCTATTGTTGTCTATTTTGAGATTTAAATGTGATTGTGTCTTTGGCAATTTTCTATAAACTCTAAAGTGTCTTCCAACTGCCATTGATGTGGTTATCAATAAAAAGGAGAAAGACAACGGTCACGATCCTTTCTTCCAGAACATATTTGAATTTAAACTTTGCTTCATAGGCTTCACAGTGTTGCCAAACAGAGCATTATGCTCCTGACTTTGAACCATTGTCCCATTTCATTCTTGTTACTGTGGAGTAATCTATTCATTGTGTCTATCTGTGATTTTAAATGAAATGTTTCAAATGTTTTGCCGTTTGAGATGACGTTTCTCTAGAGTGTTATAGATACCCTTACTCAGGTTAAATAAATTCCTTTCTAATTTATTAACAGGGTTTCTAAAAAATTATAAATAGATGGTGAATCTTATAAAATACTTTCTGTGAAAGCACTGAAATGATCAGATTTTATGCATGTCAATCTCTTAATGAGATATATTACTTTTAAGGGTTATTTAACATAAAAATATTCCTGTACTTTTATCATGAACCCAATTTAGTACTGAGGTGTCATCTTTAATATAACATATGTAATTTGCTAAGATTTTCTGTAGATTTTTTCATCTATAATCTTGGTTCAAATGAGCCTCTAATTTCCCATTTGTATGTCTTTGAGTTTTTAGAGTTATGTTGGATCCATAAAATGAGCTTTACTGAATCAGAGTCAATAATGAGTTTGAGTGACCAGAAAATATTTACACTGTGCTTTTCATAGAACTACCTTTGTCTCTGTTTAGAATTTTCTATTGTATCTTTGAGGTTTATTTGTTCATTTTTATTACATTCATTTCTGCTTTCTTTTGGTTGTTCTGTTATACTTTCATATTTTCTTAACAGGAACACTTAGCTCACTAATTTTGAGGCTTTCTAATGTAAGACTTTAAGGATATAAATTCCCCTCAAAACTTTTCTTTATCTTCAGTTCCCAAATTTTGATAGATTTAAACATAACTAAGTTCTAGTGTTATATTTTTTCATTTCAATTCTGACTTTAGTTCATGATTTATTCATCACTATTAATTTTGTTCGTAATTTGCAAATATTCAGGAATTTAAAAAATTTATCTAATTCTTATTAACTTTCAGCTGCTTCATGATCAGATAAGACTAACTTTGCTTTAAAATTTGTATAGCTGTATTTATTACTTAATATATGATCAATGGTTAGAGGTATCCCACGTGCATATGAGGAAAGTATACATTCTATAATTATTTCATGCAGAAATCTTTATATTTGTATATTGGCCAAATTTTTAAAATTGTCCTGTTAGCTCTTCCACATTATTTTTATTAAATTTTTTTGTCTGCCTGATTTCGTTACTGATGACGACTGGCCGTGTTTTGCCCAGGACATGCCAGGTTTACACTTGATGTGCTGGAGCTATTATTCAGAGCACTCATCTGCTCCCAGGTAAAGCATTTCTGTTGGAAAATTCTGTGCATTAATTGATCCTTATGTTTTTCTAACTCCATTGCTAACCTTCCTCTCTTTATAGTGACATATTCTTTGACTGCCTTAGTGACATTCAGTCTGTTTTTGCTGAGTGTCAAATAAATCAGTGTCTCAGAGTTTTGTGGGTGCTCCAGTTTTACAGCATGTCCATTTAGAACTTTTGAACCCAAGTGAAATTAGATCCTATCACTCTTCCTGGCTCAATACAACTGGGCCAAAATGTCTGCAGAGTACAGATTAGATGGTAAGCCTTTAATTTTATTAGTACTTGATTAGTAGTGACTGATACTAAAAAAGCAGCTCTCGTATATTGAGCCCTTATTATTTGTTAAGCACTTTGCACTTCATTTTCATAAAGTTTATTTATAATAATCAAATCATTATTTCTTTTGTACAGATAAACAAATGGAGGCTAAGAAATATACAATAACTTCCAAGGTCACAGGGTAGTGGGTATATAACATGGGAATTACATCAAGGTTATAGGACTTCAAAGCCCACATTCTTAATGACTATACTAGATCTTAAATTTTGCTTTTTAAATCAAATAATTTAAAACATATTGGACAAGTTCTGGAAACAAGTTCTAGACTTTTAGTCTCATACCAATTGTATTTGGTTCGTTTGTGTTCTTTGTAGGATAACAACAACAATAACAACAACAAAAACAAATCTGTATTTAAAAATTTTATATAACATCTCACTTTTTATTTTAATATTTTAAATATAACATTGCTATTATCATTTAGTCATTTGCAGATACTCTTGAAAGGAAATTTTATTGAAAGAACTATAAATAACATTTTTGAAATATTAATATTTCAGTATTATAGCATTCATATCACAGTATTACACTGCTTAAAATCCAACATCTTATAAATTATCAAATTCCAAATAGTGAAATGCATAGTTTTTGCATACTGAACATATTTTTCTAAATAAATAGTCATTTTGTCAAGAAAATAGTCAATTACTTTTAGAAATCATAACTTCTAGAGAAACAACTGAAATTACTAACCACTTAGTTTTGGGCTGGGTGTTCCTAGTGCAGGTCTAGGATCTTTCACCAATATTTTGGAACCAGCTATGAAAAGAAATAAAAAATGTTTTGAAAAGTTAATATAATTAATAACGCACATGTACACACACACCCAATGTAATGTACTGTTACTTTTTCTCTCTGACATAGCATATGGTTTTCTGAAAAGTTCCCTGTTCATCATAGCATCTTGGTCCCCAATCAACACTCCTATTGTAGAGTTAACAACTTCAGCAATTACCCCCTTTATAGTCCAGTGGTACAAGGGGAAGATTAGTGGTGCCATATCATTTTGAGATACTGTTTCTTACTTTAGAAGCATAAAATAACATGGAAACAGTCTATTCCAACATAAAAACTGTTGCAAAAGGGCAGAAAACATTTGTGCAGGATTTACATTTAAAAAATAAAAATTTGTTAAGAGAGCTTGTGGTGTCATAAGAAATTGAGTGGACTCAATAGTGAAAACTATAAAGTTTTAAGTCAAACCAACAGTAGTCCAAAATCAAGGAAATCATGTGTGGTGTGGTGCTTGATATGCCTGAAAAGCTGTAGAAATTATGAGAGGCAGTACTTGTAGATCATGTAAAATCTCAGATCTTTATCCTAAGGACAATGTGATGTCTTTAAAAGGTTTGAAGGGGAAGTGATGTGGGTGAAGATCACTCTGGCTAAAAGATGGAGAACAATTTAGAAAGGAGTGGGTATTGATACGGGCAGAGAAGTTAGGGGGCTGCTGCAGTAGTCCCAGTAGAGAGAATGCTGAGTAGACTACTGTAGTAGGATGATAAAACAGAGAAGTGGCAAGACAAAAAAGCTATTAAAATCAATGTGGATTTATATGGTTAGGAAGATATGTCAAAGATGACTACTAAATTTCTGTCTACTATATGATGATGGCACCACTGAGATAGGGAACACCAAAAGAAGACTATGGTGAAGGAAAATGTATGAGTTCTGATTTGCATTTATTGACTATTGAAATGTCTCTGAGGAATTCAAGAAGAGACATCAAGTAAGCAATAGAACATATAAGTCTGAAGCTAAGAGAAGATAAATGGGTTAGAAATATTAATTTGTAAATAATTTCCATAGAGAAGACTATACTGTTGAAGCCATTGGCTTGAATAAAGTCACCTAGGGAGATAATATAGGGTAAAAGGAAGAGATGGCTAAGAACCAAGTCTTTAGAAAATCATGAGTAGAAAAGAATTTATAAGGGAAATGGAGAATGGATATCCAACATTATGAGGGAATAACACATTTGTTTACTCAACAAATATTTATTGAACACTTTTCACATACAAGGCACTGATCTAGGTGTTAAAATTACAGTTGTAAACACTTTGAACAAAGTTTCTGGTTTTAGTGAGATTATATTCTAGTTGGGGAAGAGCAGATGAAAGGAAAGGAGAGTGAAGAACGGCAGTGACATGTAAACAAATAAAAGAATAAGATATCGCATTGTAGGAATTTCTATCATGAAAACTTATTTAAGTAAAAAAATAGCAATGTTCTAAGAGAAGAGAGGAAAAACATTTCGTGAAGGATAAGGTCATTAATACTTGTGAACGTTGCAAGAGATCAAGAATTAGAAGGTCTGAAAAAAAAATAAAAAAATAAAAGGAAAAGAAGTTTAGTAATGACCTTATCAAGGATTCTACAAAAAAAAAAAACCAACAACTTCCTTTGCTCCTTTTTCTGGAAACATAAGTCTATTCCTTTGGTAAATTCCTTACATCTTGTCCAGATAGGGAGTGTCCTGATCAAGCAGCAACAGGGGTGGGACCTTCATGTACAATTGGTGAATGTACCGTATCACCCTAGGTGAGTAATGAATTTGAAAATGGACTCTGTTCAAAACTGTTACATTCAGGCTCCTGAAGAGAGTTTTCATGACTGTGCTTTGGGAAAGATATTTTTCTACCAGGGTTATGCTTCCAGAAGGGTTGACCCCAGGGATACTGGCAGCAATTTTCCCTACTGTGGTGGGTTGAATAGTGTACCTCCAAAATGTATGTTCACCAGGAACCTCAGAATATGACCTTATTTGGAAATAAGGTCTTTGAAGATATAATTAGTTGGGGCTCTTAAGGTGAAATAATCCTGAAATAATCCCTAACTCTAATGACTGGTGTCTTTATAAGATGAAGAGAGGACATACAAAGATACATGGAAAGGCCATGTGAAGATGGAAGTAGAAATTGGAATGAGGCAACTATGAGTAAGGAATGTCAAGAATACCCCAAAAACCATCAGATGCTAGGAAGAAGTAAGGAATGATTCTCTCTATAGCCTTCAGAGGACACATGGCCCAGCTGACCCCTTGATTTTGGGCTTCTGGCCTCCAGAAACAAGAGAATAAATATCTGTTCTTTTAAGCCACCCAGCTTGTGGTACTTTGTGATGGTTAGCCATAGAAAACTAGTACACCTACCATGAATAGAAAACTAGACAAAATAATAAAGGCAAGAAGGAAAAACAGGGCATAGTAAAGAAGCTATAAAGACCTGCATAATATTTTTGTGCCTCTGGGTGCAGAAATGTCTATCTCCTACCTTTGGAGTTGGCCAATGAATTTCCCTTCTTCCTATGCTAATTTGAATTCATTTTTTTTGTCTCTTGCATCTGAGGAAAGTCAAAATACTACAACATTTTCTGTGAAAAGCTTTTATAGAGAAAACTTACCTTCACAAACAGGAACTTTTCCAGTCCAGGTGTTATCAGATCTACACACTCTATGTTCTGTTCCACCTGCTAAGAAGAAGCCAGTCTGGCAGGTATAAATGAGCGTATACCCGTGGGATGGAAGGTCCATGCCTACTACATTCGCGTGAGCAGGAGTTTCCGGCTGTTTACAGCTGTGTGCTACATTAAGAAAAGAGAAATAAAATGTTCATTTTTTTATAAACATGTTAAAACATTTTTGAGACTGGAGTCAAGATATATATTTTGGAGGTTTATTGCTACCTTCATGTAAATATACTGTTAAATAGTTCTAATGAATCAAGGGAAATGTATGCATGTAAATATACATTTTGATCTCATAGACTAGCATTTCCTAAACAATCATCTATGGATCATTATATTAATAGGTAAACTGAGGGAAAAAAAGACTATAATTAAGCTCATAAATGTATAGTGTATCATTATTTTCAAGAGGCATGATATTATATTAGCATTTTAAAGGACCTAATATGTCCCATAGTAAGATACCTTTCAAAGTTTGTCAAATTCAGATTTTCCTATACCAGTTGAGGAAATATTATTTTATGGTTTTTATTACATTTATTTTAAATTTAATAATAACATGTTTTCTAAAGTTAAATCTAACCATGGCTCTTAGGTTGCTCCGATGTTAAAACTTCCTAATGTAGAAAGTACAATTTAGTAATTTTTCTACATATGGAATTTTCTGGAATTTCAGGGTTTATATGCTATCAGTGTTTGTTTGTTTTTATTCATTTAACGTTTTGCCTTCTTTTCTCCATGTTTCCTCCCACTCTTAATTCTCCACCTTGATTCTACAGTACCTATACTTATGGCATTTTTTGGCCCTGCTCCCCTCCCCCAGTTTACTTGTTTTGTGTCTTTTAAAGATCATTCCTTTCTCAATTAGAAATAGATGCTACTGAAAATTTACTCCTAAACAAGACAACATTTCTGACAATTTGTTCACGGATAAAGATCCTTAAAGGTGCTCTCTGAAAAAAAGTGGACAAATTTGTTTGCAATAAAAATTTCCCTTTGTTTCCCAATGGGAATTTACAAAGCTATAAATAACATCCAACATTTTTAACATAATGTAATAAATACTGCATAACATCATCTATATTTAATATAATTCAGTTCATGAAATTTAATCCCAATGGGAGAAATAGAAATAGCTAAGGATAAACACAAGTCATCTGTCTCTGCTGCATTCTTAACCCCACAGGATGCACTTATTAAAATTCCGATATGCTTTGCAGTAGCACAAGCTGTTTAACTCCATTTACATCATCATATCCCAAATGTAGGTCATCCAAGAATCTTAGTTTACTATGAAATACCTAGTTATATCTTACACAGTTGTTCTAAAGTACACACTCTGAAGAATTCTCTTTTAAGGAATTTTGCCAAATTTCAATGTAAACCAAGCAGGCATGTGACATGACTCAGTGCAGTGTTCTACTGCATTTCAGTAAGCTGCAGGTCCATAGGGGCTCCTGGAATTATTTGGGTGGTTTTGAACGGGGCTAGTGTACATTCACAGGACTTACTTGGACTTTGGCAAATCCTAAAAGCTATTTACCATTTCACTCCTGCTTACTCTTTATTCTTTTCCCCCAAGAGGATAAGAATTTTAAAATATGGGGGAGGAGATAAAAAAAGAAAGTAGAAGAGAAAGAAGAGATAAGTAATTCACCAGCTAAAATGTATTTCTAACTATAAATCAGAAAAGACTGTTTAGCGACCTTGAGCTTTGTTCAAATTTAACCTGGAACAGCAAGTGTTCTCAGCTTAAGGATATTACACATTTACAAGCTTCAGGAAATCCTGAAGTAGTATTAAAATTTTTGGTCCAGGTGTTTATGCATATTTTCTTCCATGTATATTTCTAGCTTTCCTCAGATTCTCAGAGTTTCACAAGTGATAAGATTGAGACTCACAATGTTGGAGCTTCCTGTACCTCAGAGTGTTTCAGATTCATAGCGCAGATCTATGAGTCTAAAATATCATCATCATCTAAAATTACCAGGTGACCAAACTGACCACCATTACAAGAGCTTTTCCAAAAGAGCAAAACTGTACCTCATACCATCGGATTCTTTAGAAAGGATGCTGCCCGATAAGCATAGGGTTATGATATAGTCATAAAATTATATACATGAATTATGTTTTATAATAGTCTAAAAAATCAATGCGATACATTTGTTGTGTGGACATAAATTTATTTTCATAATCAGAAGAAAAAATGCATGTAAATTATTAGTCATAAGAAATAAAATTTCTAAGCCACCATACTTACGTGTGCACTCAGGCTGAATTCCACTCCATGTAAGGTCAGGAAGGCAAGTGCGTGTTGTAGATCCCTGGAGAAGGTGTCCTTTTTTGCAATGAAACTGTACAACATTTCCTACCTATAGCAAATGACGGAGAAAAAACAAATGCCGTAATGCAACTTCAAATATAGTAACAAACAGGAAAAAACTTTGGATGAGAAAATGTTTTCAAAAGAAAGTATGCATAGTAGAAGTTGTAAGGAAAAGAATTGGGAATATGATTTAAAATAAAACTGGGAGAAGAATATCAAGACTGAAGAAACAAACTCAGATCTCTTTGTGTACATTATTGTCATCAAATATTTGAGTACCCAAATGTACACATAGGCGCCAAACTGTTTGCCATAATATGAAGAAAATATATGATGCCAAAAGGCCAATGAGCTACCTATAAATAGAGGACAGACAGACAGACAGACAGTCAAAGACAGAAAATAAAGGCGAATAAAAATAGATATGGAAATAAAAATAACGAATAACATAAAGGACAAATGAATATGGAAGACAGTAAATGTAATATGAGATTAGATGCAAAAGTTTACTGAAGGTTGTCAAGGTAAGAGAAATACGCAATGGAAGGATGCAGCTTGCACTAAGTTAACTAAGATGTGGAATTGATAAATATATAGAACAATGCTTCTCAAAATGTGGTCTCTAGGCCAGTAACCCCAGCATCACCTAGGAACCTGATACACCTTACCCCAGACCCACTGAATCAGAAACTCTTAGGGTAGGGATCATCAACTTGTTTTAACAAGCCTTCTAGGTGATTTAATGAATACTAAAGTTTGAAAGCAACTGATATAAAAGTAGAAAACATAAGAAAACAATGATAAAATGTATGGAGATTAAATATACATCATATAGTTTAGGAATAAAGAGAGTACATTTCACTGGTTGGCATGGATAGTTCGCACAGTGAGCTGGGAAGTTGGGGGTAAAATGGGAAACAGTAAGATAGAGTAAAAAAGAAAACAAACCCCAGAATAATGTATACTTGGCTTTAACTTTCGATCTGATCTTACTTGAATGGGGTGTATCTCATCTTTGAGACTTAATTTGCCATCTAGAAATAAAGATGATACTATGATTTGTCTTGAGATTTGTGTTAAGGATTCAATAAAATAGGATATATAATCCACTCCACAATGGGATGACACATTAGGTTTTAAATAAGTTCTTGCTATCATGATTAAATAAAAAAACACAAGTGAAAATCAGTTTCTGAAGGGTCTCAAATGGCAGGCTACGGCATTTGAGATCTTTTTTTTAATAGAAACCAAGTTGCTAAAGCTTTCAGAGCGAGTAAAATTTGTGTAGAAAATTATTGGAAAATGAACGAGCCACTGTATGGAGAAACTATTAAGCAAAAAGAATGAACAATAATTCTAATTATGAGGCTGGCACTGCCATTTTAGATTTGAGTGGTTAAAAGCTGGACTAACTCATGGAAGTAGACTGGGGAAGAACGTTGTTTACTCAAACTATATTACAGGGAAAACCCAGCAGGATTTATTAAATGATTAGTGGTGGAAGACAAGATAAGGGCTATTTAGGATCTGCCACTTCTGCTTTCCCCAACAATCGGAGTCTGAGAATGCTCAATTGTCTTAGGGCCTATCACAGAGACCCTGTTTTCTGCTTTCCCACCTGCTAAAGCAACATGAGGCTAAGCCTACTCTGACTTAATTTAATACAAGATTCCATTTAGACCTTGAGACTAGCTATATTCCACCATTTCTCATATTCTCATCATCTCCCAGAACTATGCTACCCCAGAAACATTCAATTCCTTATAACAGTCATTTTCCTATAACAACCTGTATCCTCCCAGTTATCTTGCATTGTGTATCCCATAACACCTTCACTTTAGCCTCTAGGAGATCTCTTACCCCCTTAAATGCCCCATTTTTGTTCAGGACTCCTATACTGTTTAACTCCAGGGAGCACTTTTTAGGCGTTATTCAATATAACCAGCATCCAAATTGTGCTCTGAGCCTGCCATTCACAAACTCCCTGAGGTTATGTAATCTGGTGCTTCGGATTTTGACTTTCTCATATGGCCTAGATTATGTGACTGATCATGCAGGTTCTGTAATTCTGTCCTTCAGTCAAACAGTTCTGCAAAATCCATCGCTTCTATCAATCCAACACTCCTACTTTAGGCTTGATCTCAATTAATGGTGCCGATTTGCACCCATAAATCTTCCCTAATTTCATCTACCCTCAATTTGACAATTCTACTGACAATTTGACCTCCTAAATCTTTCTCAAGCTATCCCCTTCTCTTTCTGCTCACTTATATATCCTGTTTTAGTCCTTGACGTCTTTTTTACAAGCTTGGGCTCTCAAATTACCGCTGATGTGACAATCACCAGGAGGACTTACCACAACACAGAGAACTGAGCCCCCATCTAAAATTTCTGACTGTGTAGATCTAGGGGAGGCCCAAGAATCTGCATTTTCAATAAGTTCCAAGGTAATACTGTTACTGCTGATCAAGGGCCACACTTTGAGAACTACTGTCATAGACAATTACAATGCTCATCTAACTTGTCTCCATTTTATCAATCTTGGCCACATCAAATTTATTTTCCACACTAAAGTTCACAGTGATCTATTCAACCTGAAAGTTTGACCATAGACACACACACACACACACACACACACACACACACACACACACACATATATATATAAATATATATATAATTATTCTTCTTAAAATCTTTCCTGGCTTATCACCCAAAGGATAAAAGGATAAAGTTACTTCGTGTTAACATGGCAGATAAAAATCTCCATAATCTGACCACTGATCATGTCTCTAGCATCATCATTAAACACATACCTTTAGTCAAATTGTGCCCATATAATATTGAATTTTTGTAGTTTTCTGAATGCATGCATATTTTCATTCTATTCTTCCTGAATAGAATGTCTTTCCCAACTTTCTTTTCTTAGTCTTACCCTAAAAGATTTAACTCAGACAACAATTCTAGAAGGCTATCCCAGAAGCAATAGGTTAGGAAAACCATCCCTTCTATGTGCTTCCTTAGCACCTTTCAATGATGTCGATGTTATCACTTATCCTATGAAGTCATCTATTTCATCTGACCTATATACCAAAATGTTAGCTTCTCTGGGCCAGGGGCTATATGTTACTCAGCCCTGGGAACCAATAGCTTAGAAAAATGTTCAGCCTTTTTCTTCCACCCAGCTGCAGAGGTTGGTGGTTGCCTGACTGTTGGAGTGCTGAGCCTGGGAGGTTGCTGGATGCAGACCTCTGAGGCCTGGGCTATGGGCTGCAAGTATGCTGCTCAGCCCCATCCTGAGCCACTCCTTGTTGGTACAAAATATTTGCCAAGCTAGAAGGAAATTTGGTTAAAGCAAAGAACAGGTGATGGATAAAATGGTTTTGAGGGGGACTTGGAGAATGCATATCAGGAATGGCATCTGATTCAGCTATGGAAACTGCAAATCACAGGAGCCTCCATCAGTGAACAAGACTGCCTGTGGGGAACTTGTAGTTTACTTGGAAGATTCTTTGTGACAACTCTTCCTCTGGTAGCAGCTTATTTAAAACTCAATGTGTTCCTTACTCACCTAAACAGAGGTAAAGGGACACAATTAGAAAGTTTATTCATTCACTTGTTTAAGCAAGAGATTCATCTAGTGACACATCTTTCAAACAAGGAGCATTGACTTCAAAAGCTATTTTTGAAAGATTTTTTAAAGAAGAAATGTAAGCCAACAGGAAAACCAAGGAGAAGATCAAAAGGAAGGAAAAACACTAGAAGGTCACAAGTAAATAAAAAATTTAAAGATAAAGGACCTATTTCCCATTTCTAGAATTAGAGAATGGAAGAAAACTATTACCTTGGAGAAAAAGTTTAACTTTTTGAGCAAGCAGAGGCAAGAGGATTTTTCAACTACCTTGAAAAAGTGAAGTATGAATACCACCTGACGGAATCCTTGAAACAGATGGATGTTGGTGAAGATTTAGAAAAAAGAAGACCTTGATAGTCACAGATATAATTACTTGGATGATGATGAATCTATCTCTCCTATTGTAGAGTCAGCAGGAGAGGATGAGGTTGCAACAAATCTTGAATATGACAATGAATGTGATATCAAATTGGTGGGGGATAATTATTTCTTAATAACCTCTGAATTACCAAAGAAGATGGATGTATATTTAGACCAAGAGCATAGTGAAGAAGCTGCTGTGTTTAAAAAGAAAGTATCAAAGTCAAAAAACATTGGACAGAAGACAGAGAATGACCTAAAAGAGATATAGGAATATGAACGTCAAGGGTTTTATCTTGAGAACACAATGTCTGGAGTTAAAGAACCCTAATGTAAACTTCTTGAAAAAATTGGGTCCCAATAATTATATTTGGGGGATTTTTGAAGTATGTCCATATTCAAGTGGAGATCAAAGAAGCCCAACTAAAACAATACACTTGAATTTAAAAAAATATATGTACTAATGAATTAATTAACTAATTGTGGACTGACTGACATGACAACTGTAGTTTGAGGAAAAATTATTTTTAAAAGAAATTAAGACTCAAACTCAGGAACTAAGGCAATAGAAGGAATCACTTAAATGGGGAATTCCTTAAAGAAAAATTTACTAACTTTAAATAATTGTGCCTATGTTACACATCATAAAAAAAGAACCCTTTACACTTTTTGCAGAAAATCAGCATACATTTTTTACTCAAACTTTCTTTAGTGTATTCTGTGGAGGGAATAAAAATAAAACTTACCAGTTAGTCAAAAAAAGAAAGAAAGAAAGAAAGAAAGAAAGAAAGAAAGAAAGAAAGAAAGAAAGAAAGAAAGAAAGAAAGAAGAAAGGTGTCTTGAAAATATTGGATTGACTGAGGGAATGGAGACTAATAATTTAATATAAAATTATTTGATTATTTAAAAATATTTAATATGTCTATCCATTTCTTAAGGTGCAGTAATATCCTTTGTAAACTTTAGTTAACATAAAGATAATAATTATTTCTTTTTGAAGGGTACATTTGGGTTACTTCATCAAACTTTTATATTAGTAAGATATGAGAAACATGTTGGAAAACAGATTTCTTTTTTTTACTCTTAAGAGTTTATTTCCTCATTCCTGTGAACTTCTCTAAAGTTACCAGTACTGCTTTAGATATCAACCAAATACTATTGAGCTGCAATCTATTTAAATACTTTTTATATATCACTAACATATTTAATAACAAGATTTTTGTCAAATTCAGAAATACTTATACCAGATATCTAATATACCTAGTTATACAGATTTGGTAGCTAATTTTTTATTCATAATCTTTTGTATTAAAATTGCTAAAATATTTTCCAAATATTAGTGCATTAATTAACCATTTTGTCAGTGATAAACCCACTTAATAGCATATTTTACATAGCTCTCCATCCTTTTCTGACTTGCCATGATAGATCCTCTGACTCTGAATAACTTCCAATATGCATAATATAATTTGATATTGGTAGAAAAGTAAGTAACAACATCATAAATATTTTCATTATCTAATTCAAAATATTCTTGGAAAAAGTAATTTATGTAAATTTTCCCAATATTTACTAATAAAAAGTGCTCATTGTATAAGCAATTATATATAATGTGAAAACAAATATTGAAACTTATTTTGTTAGGATTTTAAAATCATTCATATCAGGTTTTAATTATGCCAATGTTTAAATAAAAATTATTTTAGATTGGCCCAAATTAGCATGTTGTGTGCAAATGCAGTATAAAATATTGAGATATGTTTAATTAGTAAATATGACTTCACTTCTTTAACTCCTTATTCCCTCTTTTAAATGTTATAGCTCAGTTACTAAGTCATGAAATTTAAATAGCTAATTATAGGATTAATTGAAATTTTGCACAAATTTAGAGCTTTCTAAATAAGATCTCTCTAACCCTTTTATGATATTTCATAGTAAATGACTCTAACTTTGCTAGAATTTTCATCACCATATTTATTTATGTCTGATTTTTAATATCACATTTTGTTTAACTGGAGTATGCAGTACAGTTCCTAACAACTTTCAAAATGTATTTATAATTAAGGCTTCAAAATTTTATATGCTCTCTCTATAACGTATTTTAAATAACTATTTTATATTTATATTTTTATTATGTTATATTAAATATTTTACCCCTGAAAAAGGGTAATAAAAGTCATACATAAGTTAAGGTTAATAAAATTGAAGTAGAAAAGCAAAATCATAAAAATAAAGGTATAACACATGTACTAAGCTTAATGTAAGGTGGAAAGGGTTTTCTCTTAGCATCCCTTTTGACCCTGAGCTTCATGGTTTAAGAAAAATGGAATTTTATGGTATCTTGTGAGTTTTTATTAAAAAGTAATCAGAAGATTTTAATTTAAAAGTGTGAATGTTATGGGTTTTTGTTTCAAAATTCATGTCATCATATTCATCATTCAAACTTAATAAAACACTAAATAACATACTTAGTGCCTCATTACATATTAATACACTTATGTACTAATTGGGATTATAAACTAGAAATCACACATAATCACCACGGTTATTTTGGTAGGGTTAAATATCTTAGTGTTAAATATCTTGGGGTTAAACATCTAACAGTCAGATTTAAAACATTCCATGTTTATAATAGCTTTATGTAACAAGCCTTAACTCTAAATAATGTGTCTTCCAAAGCCCAGAGCTCAATTTGAAGAGTGATATAGCAGTTAATGAAGTATGTGTTTGGCATTTACACCATAATTAATCTAGATGTTGTATCAATCATTTTGACAGCTACTCCCTTCAGTAGTTAACCTATTTCCTAGGAAAAAAAACTGTTCCAATTTTCAATATTTTGGATAGAAAGAAAAATATGTTGAATATTTTTTTCCAACACTAGAGTTTTCATCATCTCTAGCAAGGGGTGATATACTCTTATATATTAATAATCATATCTATGTCAAAAAATCTACTATATAAATCTATATAAAAAGGAGAGTGAACAAATAAACACTTGAAAAAAAAGTTAAGGAAATGATTTGAGTGCCTCTGCAATTCATAACTTCGTTCTTTCTCTTGTCCCTCCCAGAAATGGGGTTCCTACACCTGTTTTTACTTAACTCGCTATTGGCCATCTGATAAAACCAGGGGTGGATACGAAAGTTGGAATATTCCAATTTTCTCTCTGGAAATTTGGAACTGAGATTGAGGGAATTAATCACTTCCTGTATGTGGCTGAGATGTAAATAGAAATGATGTACCCTTGGCCAGATGGCCAATCTGCAGACAGAGAACAAAGTAGGTAAACAAAGAGTACTAGAAAAGACTTATTGCTGTCATTTAGTTTCTAAATTCTGGGCTTGATGAGTCTCACCTAGATTCCTTCTCTTGTGGGCTCGACATACCTGCAACATGAACTGTTATGTCTTTAGGCTTAAGCTACCTGAAAATAGTTTCTGTTACTTGCAAGGAAATGTTTTTCTCAACCTATAAAGATGCTTTCCCAGTTTTACATTCATTTGGAATCCACCAATAAACTGACAGTATTTCAAATTACAATTTAAAAAATTTTGTTGGCTCTATACAGATTTAGTAAATATAATTAGTATATATATTTGTGTGTATATAAATATATAGGTATATATGTGCACACACACATGCCATATGCATGTAAAAAAGTTGATGTCCCTAAGTTAACATACTCAGTATATCATTTGTAATTATAATACAGGTTAATATAATTACATATAATTAGACTTTACCATGTTTGAAACCTAGTCTATTCATATTTACCTAGATAGAATATAATGATCTAATATATGTTTATTAGCCAAATAATACGAATTTAGGATTAGGTTAATTTTGTAATAACTTTTTTTAAATTATAACAAAATTCTTAAAATGCAGAGTTAATGATTTTATTCATTACATGACTATTCCAGGCTCAGTCTTACTCATTTCCATTGTCTCAAGGGGTATTTACTAGAAAGGACTCATATTACTCAGAAAATCACATCATTTATTGCATAGACACTAATATCAAAATTTTATATTCTGCCCAGGTATTGTCAATGATTTGCCCTGTGATCAAAGCCAAGTCATATTTTGTTTCAGTTTCTTTGTCTATATACTGAGGACTTATGCTGTTTAGCTAGTTGTCCATTTTTCAGGATTTAGATCAATTGACAAAACATTCCATGTACATATGAACCTTAAGTTTTCTTAACATCAATATAATAGAGACTCAGACACTTTTTTACACTTTTGTGCTATTTAGACAGGCCTGAAGTAAGCCTGAAAAATTGGGAACACTATTAAATCAACGGTCATACTGAGCCTGAACTGTAGATATATGAAAACTATTTTTAGCAACAAAAATATGGCACCTTTGATGAACGCTTTCTTTAGAAATGGATGTTTCTCAGGTTCACACTGAATTTCGCACAAAATAGCACAATTTAGAAAACCCTGCAACATAAGGCAGTTGGGTAATGTGTAAATTGACTATTTCCTTTCATAATCAAGTATGCACTTTGGCTCCCCTTAGGACCCTGTAATGAAAAACTTGTTGAATTTCTATATAAAATCTAAATTGGAAAAAGAGTGAACAAGAAAGCCAGCCACACATGACAGGGCATGCTAAAGAATTGTAACAGAACAATCTAGCTATGTGTCGTGTAAAAATAGGTTACAGTTACGTTATTTTTATATTCCCACATCAATCACAATGTATAAAACATATTTTAGTGATTTTATATGTATATATATATATATAAAACAAATATATATATATAACACAAAAATATTTTAGTCTTATTGCCTTATTGAATAAACACATGTTAATATATTAGCTAACTCTTTTTCTCAGAAGTCTATCATCTGTACTTTTCCTCTCCGTCCCCACATCTTCTATTCATTTACTCTATGAATTACTCTTCCTTATACTCTCTGACATACTAATTACTGCTTATGGATTTTCCTATGCTCACAGCTAACTCCATTTTTTTTTTTTTTAATCCTCATGGTCAGTTAGGCTATCGTTCTTAAAGTGTATCTGTCTTCTCCTAATTTTCTTTTATGGCTACTCTTTTGCTGTCTGTTACCTTTTTTAAAATAATGTTTATAAATGCAGATATAAGCGTGACTTTTTTTCTGTGTACATCAACAGGACTATATGCATGTAAACCAAAGAACCCTTATGGTCTAATGGAAATATTTATTTAAAGTACCTACTTGAAATCCGAATGTATTGTTCTGAGACCCATGCCGTGGCACTCCTGGATTTTCACATGAGGTACGAGTTGGTTCTAAAACAAAGATTAAAAACATAATATTCCTTTAAAATTTACAATATATTTAAATGTGTATTTCTCTCATACAAAACAATTTTAAGTGATCTCAGGTTTAATGAAAGGTCCCTGGGTAATATAAAGAGTGTAAATCTAACAGCATCTCACCATGGACAGAAGCCTGCTAATCTTAAAGCAAGAAATTCAGGTAGACTGTATTTTATTGGGTTGTTGGAAAAGTCATGATGCATTTTTTGCAATGAAAAACATAGAAAAAAATACATCATGACTTTTCCAACAACCCAATATATAAATTATGCAATTCTTGAACTCTGAAGCCTTGTAATACAAAAGCACTTAATATAAAACTAATTCTGTGGATAAAATTGTAAGAAAAAAATGAAGGATATGAAAGAACACATGCACAAAACATTTGCTCAAGGACTTTGCTAAATTATAATCTCAGATAGGGTAACAGTCCCCTCAAGGAGTAACTTTCTTCCAGAAACAGGACTTTGTTATTTGGATTTTTAAGTGACATCTGTGGGAGATTCAGATGTAAGAAGGGTAGGGCTGGTGGCCTCCGAGTTGGCTAGTTTGTATGGCAGTTTAGGTTGGTTTGTATGACAGTTTACCTGGTTAGTTTATCAAATGTGGTATTTAATATTAGGACTACAGGAAAGTACTTAGACAAATTGCCAGTTATAAAAAAAGTCAGGGGGATGCAAAGCAAGCATAGGAAATATAGTTAATAACACTGTAATAACTATGTGTGGTGCCACATGCATACTAGACTTATCGGGGTGATCACATTGTAAGGTACATAAATGTCTAATCACTATGTTGTACACTTAAAACTAATATAATATTGTATGTCAACTGTAATTGAAAAATAAAGAAGAAAACAAATGTACTTAGAGCCATTTTGAAATCAATGTATCTTTTACATTTGTAAGGGGAGTTCAGTTTTATTTGAATATGCTTTCTTAACTTTAAAGAGCTAAACTGATGTTAATACATAATGCTATTCATCCGAAAGCTCTTTTCTTTTTCATTTTATTGATAAACAAAAAAGGTTATTTCAAGTGTTTCTCCTGGAAATTTCCCATGAAAAAATGACATCATACGTTTTTACCAATATTCATTTTCAGTGTCTTCTAATTGCTTCTATATTTTACATTTGTTTTTCATATTTAGTCAACTATGGTTTATAGGATAAAGTAAACCATTAAATGTCACCACTACCTATTATATCGAAAATTACTGAGTATAATCAACCCTTCATTAATATTACCTATGCAGTGCGGTGACGAACCACTCCAAGTACCATCTGCTTGACATATCCTGGTGCTTGATCCCACTAGTATGAAAGGAGAATTGCAGCTGAATGAAACCTCTGACTGGTATATAAAGCTTTTGCCTTCTCTTTTTCCTTGGGCAGGTATACCAGGGTCACCACAAAACTTTGCTGGATGTGAAAAAACACAGTTTTAACAAAGATTTAGGAACAGAGTAAACAGTTGAGAAAAATGATGACAACTGAAATATTGCACTAAAGTGACATGCTATCCATGTCAATCTGTCCCAATGAATTTTTTTAGCTTTTGTTTACATGAATAACTACTGAATTTCACTTCAGTATAATATTTTAAATATTAGTCACACTCAGATATTTTCCACCGAGTAGCCCACCTTAATAACTAGTTTTTGTTTTGTTTTGTTTTTATATTGACCAGACTCAAACCACATATTTGTACACATAGGCTGCAAAGCTGAAGTGTATTCCTGAAATGGCATGTGACTCACAGATACCTCTGTGAGAAAGAGCCATGCCATAATGTCTAAGTTGTGCTCTCCAGATTAGTCTGTCTTTTTATATGTATGTGAAATACACGGTTATTTGTTTTGTTGAACTCTGTTGAATAGTGTGAGTACATATCCCAGTATTTTGATGCCTTCTTCGAAATACTGTGGGGGGTTTTGAGGGTTGTTTGTTTTGTTTTAAAGAGAAAAGAAGACCATCGGAGTCCAAAGGTAAACAAAACTAAGGAGTCTCAATGTTCTACAACGACCTCTGAAGATATCAACTTGACAGGCTTTCTAAATAAATTGATTAGATAATTCTGTTCAACCTGTAGATCTTATTTTAACTACTAAAAGACAGACATTATTCTAGGTAGGCTTGGGCACTTGGACTTATCAGTAAACAAAGATTCCTGCCTTTATGGCGTTTATGTACTGGTGAGGAAAGCAAACAAACAATAAACAAAATTAATAAGCAACAAAAGGTAGTAGATAGGAAGGTAATAAGTCCTGAGTGGAAGAATAGTGTGGGGTGGGGAGATCAGAAGTGTGGATGTGTGGATGTGATAGGTGGTGAGGGGTGGGAGTAGATTTTAAATGAGGTGCAAGGGTGTCTCTCACTGAGAATAGATTTTGAGGAAACAAAGCATCAAGCCATGCTGAGATCCCAAGGGAGAATATTCCAGATGGAGGAGACAGCATTGCCAAAGCCCTACATGCTGGGGCATGTCTAGCACGTTGGAGAAAGAATGAGGTCAGTAAGACTATGGCAGAGTGAGCACGCAGATGTGTAATAGGAGATGAAATCAGATGGTTTCAAATCCAGTAGACAACTTATATAACATGCTTTTTTTTATCGTCGTAAACAAACATGTACATTAATTTGTCATTTTAACTATTTTTACGTATACTCAATTTTTATATTTGTGGATTCAGCACCTGGAAGCTTATTTCCTTACAAAGTAAATAAACAGGAACAACCCAATGTTTCTAAGTATACGTTCTGCCTTAAGATGGCCATAGGCTGGGTGACCATAAAATGCATCATCCAAACCGAGACACCTTTGAGAGTGAAAGGGGGCCTCTAACTGGGTAGGACAACTATCAGAACAATGGAAATAAACTGCTAACAAAAGGGATGTGTCATGCAAACTGGGGTGTGTGAGTACCCTAACTGTAGAATACCTAGTCTTAAACTCAATGTATAAAGCAAGACCTTCCCTGAAATTCAAGACTCTACATGACACTTAACTTTTCAAATTCTTTTTAGAAGCATTTCTTTTTTCTTTTTGAAATAGCTAAAATTAAAAGTAATCATTAAATAAATATTAAAACAAAATAAATTGGGGGAAATTAACAGTAAAGTAACACAGGTAAAATAAACATTTTTTTATTGTCTTTTGTTTTCATTTTCACCATGTCTTATATATTCTAAACCTTAGTGCTACTTGGCATACAAACACTTCTAGCAATATAACATCAAACCCTAAAGGCCAGAGACCTTGTCTTACTACTTTGTATCTCTAGCACATTTTGAACTGAATGTATATTTCCTCAGTGATCATTATCCATGGGTAGTTCAGCTATAGCAATTGTTTCTATTGATGAGTTACTTTGTAACTTATTTCTGAAGAGTTTCTCTTGTATATTTCTGCTGAGTCTCTCATCTTGAAATCTTGTCTTTATTCAACAAAAAAGAGAAAGGATTGATATGCACCTATATAAACTCCTCAATTCTCTCCACAACCCACACCCCCCATCATTTCATCTGTTTCTATCTGCAGATTTTCATGTACTAAACCAAACAATCTATCGATGTCAGGTATAGAGGTTTATGACACAGGATTATTTGGGTTATTTTCAAAGGCTTCAGATCACAATGACATAAATTTTAACATAAAAAGGTATGCTTTAAACACATTTAAAGAGAAAAGACTTTCCTCTTTATAAATGAGGGAATTTGGATATTCAACGGATAAGGGAATTGTCTCTTCAGTCTACCTTCTCTGAACTGGAATTCACACTCTGCCATTTACTGGCAGTGTGACCTTAGGCCACCTCACAATGTAGCTGGTTCCCTAAATGATGATACTTATATGGTGTCCTTATAATTTGATCTCCCCGCTCTGAGCCCAAGTAAAATGTAATGACTACACATAGTCACCCAGGAGTCCTGTTATGTGTAGTAGAAATAATATATGTAAAGCATCTGGGACAATGTTAGCCCTATTATATCTGGATAATTATTTTAATTTAAATGTCAATAGTAAGAATTTTATGATTATTTGTATTTTCATAGATCCCAAAATAAAACATATTGAGAAACTTCATTAAGGTGTTTTTTTTCAGTCATGTCAAACAAACTTTACCATAAACTCTTTTCTGTCACACCTCATTGTCCCCATCTATACACTACAGTTGGGTGTTGGGCTCACACACAAACTTGCCAGTACTGTTGAAATTGCATATGAGCCCCTCACAGATAGTATTCCTTTTCTCATCCTGAATTCTAGATTTCTCATTTCTGTATATTTCTTGATAAATTGACCACATTCACATGCATGCTTAAGCAGTGAGTTATTTAGCTTTACAACTAAAAACAATGCTGATGTTAATATTCTTGTACATGTCTCCTGATGCACATGTACAAAATTTATGTAGGGCGTATACCTAGGAATATGATTTCTGGGCCATAGACTCTGCACATCTTTAACTTCACTATATTTTAACAACAAATTTTGCAAATGGTTCTGTCATTTTAACATCCACCATTAGTGTGTGAAGGTACTCATGGCTCCACATCCTCACCAATACTTGATATTGTCCAACTTTTTTTTTTCAGTCCTATGAGTAAATAGCTGTCCATGAGTTTTGCCCAAGTTTATTGCTTTGTCTTTTGTTTTAGGAAACTTTTATATATTCAATATATTGTTTTTTAATATATATTGGTTATATTACCTAAATTTCTGGTTGGTCATATCACAACAAGGAATTAAAATTTTTTAATGTGGCTGATTTTTTTCTCACTTTTCATTTATGGCTGGAGTTTTTGCCTCTTCAGAAAGCTTTTCTTACTCTAAGATCATTTAGATAGTCTCTTAGTCTTTAAAACTTGTATATTTAAGCTCTGAATGAATCTGGCATTGATTTGATATTCCACATGAGATAGAGATCATGTGTGTGTGAGTGTTGCATTAATTGAAATGTTGTTCTTTCCCCAAGTATCAGTAAATGAATCAGTACTCTCTCTTCTGTAACATTGGTTTACTTTCTATCCCTGCATCAACACCAAACTGTCTTAATTTCTATAGTATTCTCAGTTTTGATATCTGCCAAGTATTATACTACATACCAGAGGCACGGCAGTGAACAAAAACAAAATGTCTGCCTCCAAGGAGGGTAAACCTGAGTAGACCATATCATTCAAATAAACAAGATAAGTACAATGTGTAGTGTAACATGAGAAGAAAACATAAATGATGAAAGGAGACTATTAAGGAGAAAAAAATAAAGTTTAAGAGGGCAATATTATATGTCAATATATTCCATTTTAAATATGGTGATCAGAGAAGACAATACTGGTTAGAGGGATTCTGGATAAAAAGCCAAAAGGAAATTTCCAGGCAATGTAAATAGTTAAGACAAAATGCCCTGAAACCAAAGCATGACTGAATGCTCAAGGAAAAGTAAGGACGCTTGTGTGCCTGGAGTACAGTGGATGAAAGGGAGAATAACAGGGTATGATAAGACTGGGGGAGGTGGGAGGGGTGAGGGGGGGATTATAAAAAGGGTTGTACATATGGGCCTACAGGCAATTTGGCTTCTACTCTGAATGAGATGGGAAGACTGTAGGATTCTGCAGTTTTTAGTCAGTTATCTCTGCCTAACTTTAAGGTCTTGGAGACAAGTAGAGTGCTCCTCTATTCTGTGCTGGGCAGGAAAAGACTAGGAACAGGATAGCACTAAATATCTCTGAAAGAGTACTGCCCACATTACATGCTACAAAAATTCGTGTAAAACAAAAAACTGACTTTTGTAATCTCCCAACTTAATCTTGAAGTGACATTTGCTGGGATATGTACTATAGGGTAACCTCAGTAAAAAAATAATCTCTTAACGCTATGTTTACCTCGGTAATTTTAGATGCATAATCACAATTATTATCATGGCAAATACCACCATAAAAACTTGATTTAAATGAACATGTAGAAATGACATGAATTTTTGCAGAAAGAGATATGGGGTTAAATTAGAGCATTCAGTTATAATAAACTGGACCTAAATAAGAATAATTTTCTGGCAGTTTTATATCAGAGGGGCTCTACTTTGAGGAATAATTTTGAAAATTAAGCTAAGTTCACAAACAAAGCAATTTAACCTAAACTTTTGAGTTAGAGCACAAGAAACAATGGTTGGATTACCTAAAAAGTAGCTCCATGGGTAAATACCTATTTTTCACTGAACTTTATGTATTGGAAGGAGTTTAACAACCTCATATTTATTCTAGCAAAAATTTGAAAATTTAAGTAACATTTATAATCTCAGTCAATAGCTCTAAGAGAGCAAAACCAGGCAAATACAAATTTAATTATGGAATTTGTACTTACGTAAGCACTGTGGTACTTCCCCACTCCAGGTACCATTCCCTACACAGGTCAGAACAGCAGGAAAGGATAGTTCATAGCCTGGAGAACAGATGTAGCTAATACTAAAGCCCCAGTCGAAATGTGTTCCTTCCAACCTTCCATTAGAGATCTGGGGAGGAGTTGGGCAGGTAACAGCTGCAATTACATTAAAAGTGATTAGACACAGCTGCTGAAATATCTTGGGTGTAAAACAAATAAATAAATATCATTAGAAGAAGCATATGTCCTAATTTAACCTTTTGGAGGACAGTATGGTGTGACATGTTTTATTCTCCTGGTAGTATCTCTGAAACATCCCTGGAATTAATCCCTCTAGAATGCAGCTATTTCTTGGCAACATAATGGCTACTGGTTGTCAGAGAACCTCTTACAAAATAATAAGCTGCCTGACCCCTAAGGGAAAGCAAATCGAGGGTGATCTTCTATCCAGTATAATGTAACTGATAAATTATTGGTTTTATATTATTTTCCAGTGACCTTTACAGACAGACTGAAGTGCAGGGTTGTTTGACTATATATATCAGGTTGTAACAAGGAATTTGGTAGTAATTCTGTGACATTTTTGAAAAATACAAATCACATATCGCCTTAAAATATCCAAACTGATTTTATTAACCACTTAGATGCATATGTTAAAATTTATTGTAGAATTTTTAATGTAGGATTCAATTTTTAAACATTAATTTTTAAAATTATTATTTTAGGTTGTCCTCAAGCAAGGTAGGTTGGAAAGATAGAGATGAGGGGAAAAGAATGATAGCAACTGCCAAACGAGGAATGATTATATTTTGATGACTAGCCACATATATGAATAATTTTTGGAGTTGTATAACAATTATGTCTGAAGTAACTTCTAAAATATAAAATGTCTGTTCATATATTTTCATGTGCTAACTATTTATAGGGAACTGATTCAGAAACTGAAATCAAGAGAAAAACACAGAGAATTATTCTTTTTTGTTAGATTATTATATCAGGGAGATATTAAACTGTCGATTTATAGATGTTTAGAGAGACACCTTAGTGAGAAATCTCAATTATTAAAAATCAATAGTATTATAAAACAATGTAAACTACCTGACATTGCATCTATGGTATCCCACAAGCAATCAGAAAAATTGGCAAAAAATATAAAAATGTTTTCAATGAAAAAAACAAATAGCATAAGCTAGCAAATCTATTTCTACATTAATAAAAGATTAATTCTAGATTGCATTCTTTAAATATACAGTGTCTCGTTTTCTTTAAGAAAATTACAGTTTTATAATTCAGGCTGACTGTTCTCAAACTACTGGAAGTGTTTCTCCCCATCCTTGAATTGCTTGACCCAAGTGAATCATCAAATAAAGGTTCTAATTCACTAAGGTTATATTCTCTTTTAAATATTTATCAATCAATATAAATGATGATGGTGCGTACATATCAAAAGTACACGCTTTTTTGTTGTTTTGGTTGCATTAGAGTTCAGTGTCATTACTCACGATAGGACATAACATTTTTATTGAAATATCATTTCAAAATCCTATATATTATTATCTATATGGTTTAAAAAAAACTGAAGGAGTCATTGCTCAATATCAAAAGAGTGAAACAATACGTATAACACCATTTAAATGTCCTATAACTTTACATATTAAAAAAGGAAATATGTAAAGGTTACCACTTCTAGATAATTGAAGAAACCACTGTACCTCTACAGGTTGGCATTACTCCACTCCAGGTGCCATTAGTTGTGCAGGTCCTGGTTCTGGAACCATTCAATTCCATCGTATAGCCTGGCTGGCACATGTAGGAAACATTTTGTCCAACCACATAATCATCTCCATATCTCAGTCCATTGGCCGGTATACCTGGGTCTCCACAACTAATTACTATCAGTATTGGAGTAGAAGAGCAGATGGTTAATGTGGCAGCTATTTAATTGAGAAGAGTAGTAAGCATACGGCATACTTGATCTATTAAGTAGGGACAACTGGTTACCACGTTCATTTTTAGTCATAAAGCATAAGCATATTTAAAGCACATACCAGCAATTCCTGATAATGATCAGGTATGCTCATTGAGGATTCTATACATATGTCTCAGAAATTGTCATGTAGGCTCTGAAATGGCCAGGTTAATAGGCCATCAGAGATTCTGATGCAGCAACCTACCTGTTTTACTGTACACTGTATGATCATGGAGAAGCCATCCTATCGCATCAAGACTTCGAACATAATATGTAAAATCTGTATTCCTACAGATGGCTTCTGAAATCTCAAATTATTCAGGCTTGCTAGACTGAAAGCAGATTTGCTGCATGGTGTTACTCAACTCGATATTATAATAGTTTTAATTAAAATAATGCTAGGTGGACAAACAATTTTTATTGAATAAATCAAAGAATGAATAAAGTGTGAATTTATCACATACAGGGTGGGATACATAATTTGTGGGGCACAGTGAAAAATGAAAAGGCCACAACTAGAGATAGATGTATTTCCCATTTCCACCAACTATTGCCAACCCAAGTGGAAGAACGAATCCTGAAAAAAGTGCAATCTCTTGCATTCACTCTGAAACGCTCTTGCTTCCTGGATTGGGTGTGAGTGAAAGGCCTACATGAAGGCTTCCATCCACTGCTTGTTGATTATGCTTCAGTACTGCCAGCCCAGCATCGAGAGCCACCAGCACCAAGACTCCGTGAATATACCCAGCGCCTACTTCCCCCGTATTTGCACCCAGACCCCCAAAACAGGGTGGAGAAAAAAGGTGTGATGTGAGCGTCCCTCTGCTGATGACACAATGGATCAGCTAATCAGAGAGCATCATCAGGGGCTCCTAAGCAGGGGTGGAAATTGGGGGGCTGGAAGGACAGGGGTGCAGGTGGTAGGAAGCAAAGGTATAACCCATCCTAAGAAGAGAGGGAGACAGGGAGGCAGACTGCACATGAGCAGAGGCTGCACACACTAGCACAGGCTCCACTGCTTCAGTTACAAAAGACAAATTCAAAGATAACGATATTGAGAATTTTGCGACAGCAAAACAGAGCATGAAACCCGAAGCACTTTGAGCGTGAGGTTCTGTCAACTGCACTGGTTCACCTAGCATGCTCTGAGGACATATATTATCACTTATGAGGCCACCTAAAAACATTTAAAAAGACTTGATTAGCAGAGAAAATAAAAATAATTCTAAATATAACAGTTATGAATAAGGCATAACAGAGATTATATTATATATGAGCCACAAAAGCACTTGCTCTTTTGAGGTACATGATTTAAGCATGATTTGGGCAATGAATTGACTAAAAACTTTCTAGCAGCTAAGACAAAAGAAAAACAAAAAACAGACGGTTACACATTTCTAGAGGTAAAGTATACAAATGCATATTTGCATTTTAGTATCATTTTTTTTTGCCTTTTGAATCTTTTTTGTTCATAAAAAGGTAAATAATTTTACCAGGTAAATTTGGGTTATACTCTCATCTTTATTTTTTAATTAATTCTTCCCAGAATTATGGAAGTCTAGGGTTAAAAATTAAAAATAGATCAATGCATGGAACCTTAATAGCACTTTAATTACACTGTATTTATTAAGTTACCATTAAAAATTATGAATATGAAGATTTCTTTCATATTATCCTAATCTGTTGAGTCTAAGAAGTTTTCAGACAATAAATATTGGCAATTAAATTAAAGGGCAATATTCACGGCATTCCACCTGCTTATCCTCAGAGCCCCGGAGACAGTTTGCTGAGGTCACACTTGTTGAGTGTTTCTATCAGACTCCTCATAAGAGCTTTGCATATAGGGTGATTTTTGTTCTTTTAATTATTGATGAGGAAAAGTTTTTTTAAATTATACAACTGAGTTGGATAGGAAATCAAATCCTGCTTATTTACCAAGAATGTCATTTTGTTTTTTGCAGTTTCAAAATGTATAAAGGTGAGCATAAGCCTTCAATTTATTTCATTTTACTTAACCTTACGTTATTTTATATTTTCAACCCAGATTACAATCAAGAAGAGGAAAATCAGAGAGAAAACCCATCAATAGCTATTTTGTGGGCAGCGCTTTCCAGATTGAATTAGAATCCTTGCAAGAAAGAACAGCTAATCTGTGGAAAGGCCCATGAGCTGAGATGCAGCCACCAAAAGAGAGGACAGAGGCTTTATTTTGCGGAGGAACTAAGAGATTCCGCACATTGTGGCAGCACCATGAATGCCTGACAACAACTTTAGAAGGTTTTGTTTGGTGGCTTTCTAACAAGCAAAGTGCAGTCAAAGAGGCAGTTTCCAATAGCAACAGTCTCTGTAAACAGCACCTGCTCCACAAGTCAATTCATTCACCACAGGCCTGTTTTCAACAATAAAAAGAGGCTTCTGGTCTTTTCTGGCAAAACCTTAGAATAGTAGCTCTTTAGGGCTTTCCCTTAAAATTCAGACCTCAGTACATGAAAACGGGGTATTGTGGTTTATTGCAAGAAAACGTTTTCTAAGGTCACAAAAATCCCTAAGGACACAGCACTTGTATACACACACACACACACACACACACACACACACACACACACACTAAACTGCATGAGACAGATATTTTGTCTCTTTCTACACTGTTGTATTCTCACAGCTCAGTCTAGTACATAACTCATCATAAGAGATTAAGTAAATATTTCTTTAAAGAATAAATCAGTGAATGAGTATGTAAAGAATGATTCAATAGCTCAAATTCACAAAAACACATTTGTTGTTTTAAAGACTTGAGTTTGTTTTTGTGGGAGGTTTTTTCATTAGCTTCCATCATGTAATTGATACAAATGTGACATTATTTGATAAATCTAAGCAGATCACCTCTATTATAAAAATAAAACATAATTGTGGTAATTCTAGTCTATGCCACTTCAAACTTTCTCTTTTAACTTTCTAAATGAGAATTATAAATATGCACTTTTAACTAAAATAGGACCACACTACCCACATTTTTATAACAGAATTCATTTTTTACTCAATATCCAATGGATATTTTTGCACATTAATACACATAGATCCATGTGACATTTTTAATTACATGATATTCTCTTACACGAATATACAAGCAATATAATTCATGAAACCAAATCCCTGTGGACTGATTGAAACCAAGGGTCTTTATGACTTTCATTAAATTTAGATTTAAATCCTACCTCTAGAAATAATATTCCACTCTATATACATACCCCTCAGAGACCTAGCCTTTCCCCCCAATAATCAGCCACCCCCGAAGCAGCAGAGCAGTAGCCTGGGCCTAACTAATGGTCACATGGTCTGAACTCCTGGCAGGCTGGAGATAACATTCTGACCTACCTGATGTTTTAGCTCCTGAGCCCTAAGGTAGAACAAACCCCTGGCTACTTTCCCATGAAATCAGACATTGGGACACCTGAACAGATCTCAGAACTGTCCTCAAGACCTGAAGAGATGATTCATTACCTTACCTCTCCTCCCAATCAGCTCCCAGCACCACCCCGAGCCCCTAACCCACGGTGCCTTGTGATTTTGCCCTAAAGAATCTGTAACCTACACACCATCACGAAGTCAAGTTTTGAGTATTAACTACCCACCTCTGTACTGGCCAATTCAATATTAAACATTTTTTTCTTTCTATACTTCAACCCCTTGTTCATGAATTTCTTTGGGCCACTGCATGCAGGCAGGCAGACTTAAGGACAAAAAAGATGGGGGTTTTGGTAACATGATATTTGAGTTATCCTGTTGTTTTCCTATTAGAGACAGTGCAGAAATGAACATGCTTGCTCAGGAATCATTACACATGCACATTACCAGGTTTCAAGCCCAGAATAAAATTGAACTATAGCAGAAAGAAGTTCCAGAAAGGTGGTTACACCATTTCTCTGATAACGCTTCTGAGTTTATAGGACCTTCCAACTCAAAAGTTGGTTTTCCTTTTAGATCTCATTAAGGTAGTCTTTCTCAACCTTAACCTTGGCCTTATTGACATTTGGGAACAATGTATTCTTGATTGTGTGAGGCTGTTTTATGCCTTGAAGATGCTTAGCATTGACCTCTGCCTGCTGGATACTGATAGCACACTCTACTCACCTGCACTGCGACAGCCACAAATATCCCCAGACATTATCATATGTCCTGTGGGAAGCAAAATGGCCCCTATCTGAGAACCACTGCACTGAGCGATAGCACTCCTTGAGAAGATTTAGATGATTTTTTAGATTCAGTTCACCCAGTTTCATGCTGGGATATCCCCCAGCTTTCTCTTGTGTGAGGGTAGCACCATTTCCCTGACCTGTCCTCTATGAAAACAAAACAAACCAACAGACAAACAAAAAACATTGAGAATTTTCAGGTTGGTAACAAAGATACAGTGAGGACCATTTATGTCCTAGTTTTCTGGGAAAAAAAATGCCTTAGATTCGTTTATCACTGGATCAGATTCAGTACTCTGTTCCTGACCCAAATGACAAGACCTGCCGGATGTGGGGCATTGATCATTTTGGAAGAAGCCTTGGTAGATGCGGAAAAAAAAAAAAAAAAAAGAACATATTTCTTTTTATACCTGAAAGGCAATCCTTACTCCACTTGACAAGTCCTGGCCTGCAGGAGACTCCGCAGGTCCAGGGGTTCCCTCAGGTGGTGGCGGAGTCGGCGAGGAAAAAGGGAAAAATGTGCGGAAACACAGGAGCGCTTTTTCAAGAAGAGAAGTGTCTCACTTTATTTTACAGCATGTCCCTTTTATACTGGGCAGTTGACCTTTTCCAGAGTGAAACTTTTGCCCTTTTGGAAGTTGTTTTTCTCAGAGCTTTTCTTCCTCCTGATGTTTCTGTTACAGGGTACAGCCTGACCTGTTCTATGCTAATGACTAACTTATCCTAACAA